TCTATAGCCCCCCCTATTTTTTTTTTTCAAGATAGTCCACAACTAATACCGATTTTTTAAACAAATATCCTGCGGATCGAAAAGTCGTAGGTTCAATTCTTTACGGGGGCCGGACTTTTAAAAAAAAAATGACCATGGCTCCCAGCCTTGAGTGGGTACCAGCTACAGTCCTGGGAAGTCAAAGTTGGCTCTCATGAGGGTAACCACATCATCCACCAAGTGCTGCTTGGTCTAAAAAGTCTAGGTCTAGCCCTGTATACGCAATACTCCAGAGGGCCTGGAAAAGGGTCCTTGACTTTACTTCATGTGTAGTTCACTTCTCTCTGTCTTATTTCTTTCAGTGATGCTTTTTATTCTGTCTCTTCACAACCGTCCCCCCCCCCCCCCGGCTCCCTTTTTTTTTCTTTTTGCTTTGCTTGTCTTTATGATATACAACCCAGTCTTCTGTATATTAATATGTCTAAAACCTCAGTTTAACTTTCTAACTGACTGCATAAATAACAGGGTTAAGTGTGTAAAACATTTCCAGTTCTCATTTTTAATGTGTGGTTTTTGTTTTTTTTCTTCTCAATGTGAATGTTTTTGTTGTTGTTTCTCTTGCTGCTAAAAAAAAAAAAAAACTTTGCCATTCCTGTTCTCTTTTTGATGCTGCCATATTATTATTTGTTTCAAGTTGTGATGAAGTTTGTGTCTAGGTTGTTTACTACTAAAAGGGTGGTTGGCAGCTGCTGGTTGGCAAGTTGTGATGAAGTTGTTCTATGGTGTTGTCTAGGTTGTTTACTACTACATGTGCAAGTTGTGACAGAAGAAGTGTTAGTTTGTTACTAAAAGGGTGGTTGGCAAGTTGTGATGAAGTTTGTGTCTAGGTTGTTTACTACTAAAAGGGTGGTTGGCAAGTTGTGATGAAGTTTGTGTCTAGGTTGGGATAACTGCTTCTTTTGGCACATCATATCCAATTACAACAAATCCTTAGTCACTTATCATGGCATGCTAATTAGGAGGCAGACAGTCTATTCCCTCTACCCCCCTCCTAAATGGGGTTCCAGACATCCACACCCCCAAACAAATTCACTCAGAATCAATCAACATGTTATTTGGTTTTAGGATATACATTTCTGATTTCCTTCTGTCCCATTCACTTTTGTAAACCCTCTCAAGATGTTTTGAAAGAGGCAATAACCCTAAGACCGTTCATCATTATCAGAAAGAGGCAAATGTCAGTAACTGTTTTCATGCTTAAGAAAAGGCAAAACTGAAATATGTGTCACAGATGGACCCATTTATGGAAAGGCAGATAGTGGAAGACAATAAAATAAGAGTCTTTATAATGTTTTGTAATGACAAGGAAGGATGTCCCCAGCTAGGCTGATATATCCTATCGGAAATCACAATATTTAGAGAAGAAAGATGGCCCACTGAGTCAGCCAGGTACTTAGGGATGATTCATTATTTAAATTCTAAACACAGCAGAAGTAACATCTATTTTCTTTTATATCCCAGCATGCAGTACTGTCATCACGGAACCAACTGGCTACATTGTCAGTGAGAATTACCCAGCCAAGTATCCATTACATTTTACATGTACCTGGACTATACAGGGGAACCAAGGCAGTGTTATTACATTCAGGTAAACTTCTATTCAGTGTCTGTGGTCTAAGGATCTATACAGATAGCTCTGTATTGAAGGGCAGACAAAGTGCATGGGGTTTCATAGCAAAGGCGAATGAACATCGTCTAGTGCAGCAGAGCCTTGCATATGATATCACAATGTCTAGTTTGAGAATGGAGGTGAAGGCAGTCTCGCTGGCTTGAGAATCAGCTGTACACACATGCCGTGATTTAACTGACTCACAGAGCATGTTGAGAAAAGTGAAAACAGGCATGCTTTGTGCAGAGTGGCAAGCATCACTTCAAAGGTTCTGGGTAGTTAGCATGCTCTGGACATTTGTTTCCAGGTTATGCCAGTGTGTTGGGAAATGAGCGGGCAGATAGACTGGTGAATTGATGTGTGACAAGTGAGATATTGTGAGGGCCCTTTGGGAGCGAGTAACAGCTGCGGAGGTGCAGATAGATCATTACGTTCTAAGGAGAATGGCGCTGCGAGGAGTTACCAGGGGATCTGGCCGACGCTCAGCACTCAGGGGAAGGATGAGATGGATATACAATCAGATGGTTACTGGTACCATTGGAATTGGAACTCTTTGCTTGCTGCTGAAGATAGGGGACTGAGCACTTATGGGAGTGTCCTGAGTGCTATGATGTCGAATCCTAATTCAACATTCAATATTGAGATTTAGGGGTTCCAAAGACAGTTCATAATTCCAAAATATCCAGTTTGATTCAGCTACAGGTGATTTGACAGCAGACTATGTTTCCTTGATTCCCACAGTGGTGTGGAGCATTGACTGTTTAGTGAAATGGCAGGTTCTTCTTCTTCTTCAATATTGTAGCTGTTTCAGGAGTCGAGAGAGAAACAAGGTTCTGTTTCTTGCTCTTCTGGTCGCCAGACCATAGACATGTTAAACTGTTTAGAGTTTTTCCTAATATTAATTTTCCATCTTGTTCTTGGTCAACATTGTGCACTACGTCCTTCTTGTTTAGGTGTATTCCTTGTTTGGTAAAGCATCACAGGTGCACATGGCAATGAACATGCTGATAGACTAGCTGCTGCCATCTGTCAAGGTGGTGAGCTGTTTTAGAATAATGTGTACGTGGTGAAGATTCTCTAGAATCAGTAAACAATGCAGCACAAACAACAGAGCATCCTTGTCTGGGAAGAATACTCCTCTTCTTCTTTGCATTCACCAGCTGTAAACTCCGGCGGAAAGTTCTGGTTGTTCGTCCAACTGCAGTCATGTTCCAGAACCTGAGTGTTGCGTGTGCATCTGTTTGACAGATCTGACTCCTTTGTGTGCAGACTGTTTGTTCCTTGCCTCTCAGGCAAATACACTACACAAAAAGCTCCAAAGTACTCGACGTTTACGATATGCTTTTGGGTAGGAGTGGGTCTAGTCTTGTTTTCCCTATAATAGGGCCCCAGAACCTACACAGGGACCTGGGGAGAATGATTCCGGGGAAGTGAGAGAATGATTCCGCTGGAAGTGAGAGAATGATTTCGGTGGAAGTGAGAGAATGATTCCGCTAGAAGTGAGAGAATGATTCCGGTGGAAGTGAGAGAATGATTCCGGTGGAAGTGAGAGAATGATTCCGCTGGAAGTGAGAGAATGATTCCGCTGGAAGTGAGAGAATGATTCCGGTGGAAGTGAGAGAATGATTCCACTGGAAGTGAGAGAATGATTCCGGTGGAAGTGAGAGAATGATTCCGGTGGAAGTGAGCACAGGTCCTCATTACATTTTTTTTTTTTAAACCTGCAATGGAAAAATAGAGAATTTTGATGAGGTTGCAAATGGCGAATTCAGTACAGGAACTCTTTGTTGCCGACTGATGAGGGAGGGGGCTGAACTCTTGTGGGAATGTTCCTGTGTGCAGTGATGCCAATTCTTGATTTATTAATTCATGAGTTATGACTTATTTTACACTCTCACATCTTCTAAATTTTCCTTATGGATCATCATCATCATATTGTCGTAACAAAACAGAGTTGAGATGTCTTAGCAGAGCTGCCGGTGTGACAAGAACAGATCCAATCAGGAATGAGGAAATTAGAAGACCATGACTGAAACCAGTCATACAATTCATTAAAGAACAACAAGTGAGATGGTTTGGCCCCCTGACGAGAATGCCTTGGTACCAGCTGCCACCCTGAAGAAATATAATGAACACAGAGCAAGGGGAAGACCACACAAGAGATGGAGCGACATCATCAGGGACAGCCTAACAGAAATGAATACCAACTTGTACAATGCAATTGGAAAAAGCGGACAAATAATCCTTACATCTCCCCCACCTAGGAAGAAAAGAAGTAGAAGTCATCATTTTTAATTTTAGAACTTTTTTTTGTTTTGTTTGCCAATGTACATTCAATGCTAGACTTCTATATTTATAGATCATTCGGCACTCAAGATGATGTGATTGAAAATACATCAGCCACCTTTACTTCCCAGCAAATTGCATGTTACCTACAATACTTTATAACGTAGCTATTTCTGAATGCTCCAGGTTTAATTATTAATATGCATCTGCAGCTTTGCAGTGGCTAGAGAACAAGATGCACACACATGCTGAGAAAGGTGAAGATAGGGATGCTTCGAGCAGAGTGGCAAGCTCCACTGGAAAGGTCACGGATACTGAGCATACTTTGGATCTTTTATCCAGGCCATGCCGGCGTGGTGGGTAATGAACAGGCAGACAGTTTGGCTGGATCTGCACCACTGGGTGGTAAATTGATACATGACCGGGCAGATGTAGTCAAGGCCCTTTGGGAACAAGCAACGGAATCAGTAGAGAAAGAATATTATTATGGCCTGGAAAGAATGAGGCACCTGGGTGTAACCAAAGGGTCTGGCCGGCTCACTACACTCAGAGGAAAGGCGATACGGAAATATAACCAGATTGTGACCGGTACAGTCAGTATTGGAACTATGTTATGGCTGCTAAAGATGAGGACCGAGCATGCATGGGAATGCCCTGAGTGCTGTGATGTCAATTCTTGACTCAACTCAGCTATGTATCTCCAAGTCACCTAAATAAATTTTAAATACATTTACCCAACAATGTTATGTCCTTTTCTTTTTTTTTTTAAAGCTTTTCGGACTTTGCTCTGGAGGCAGCAGTTCACTGTTTATATGACTACGTGAAAATTTACGATGGTAGCACTGAAAATGATCCATTACTTGGTGGTTTTTGCGGCACAAGGCTACCTCCAAATGTTACCTCATCTACGAACATGATGCACATCATCTTCCATTCAGATGATAGTGAGAGCTACTCAGGGTTTAAAGGAATCTATCTGATTCATGTCTAGAGGAATGTGTGTCATCAAGTGAGGTGAGAATTTATAATATTTCCTCAATGTGGTTAAACTTTACAATGATTACTATCATCCAGCAAGATTTAGATTATTATGTTGTTTGTGTTCACCAGCTGTAAACTTCAAAGGAAATCCTGGTTTATCTTCTTTTTCCTGCTCTTTTATCTGAAGACTTAAATGGCTGCAATATTTACACCTTTCGGTTGCCCGGCTTTCTAGCGTAGTTGGCTAAACCGGATTGTGTGGAGACCAGGTGACCAACTCCTTGTGATCCGGGTTCAATCCCAGGGGTAGGCAGGAAAGCCACATTTTCTCCCAGATTTACGGTATTTACAATGGAATCAAGGCCGAAAAGTTGTGATATCTATAATACTGAGCCTAAGGGTTAACAACTCAACAGCTTCTGGATACTAAAACAAACAAACACCTTTCGGCCGACACATCTGACTTGTGCAGGCATTTGATGTCTGGGTCAGTCTTCCCGGGTTCCTCCACTTCTAGACTTTAGATTCATTCTAAGACTTGACTTTTGCGTGTGCATCCATTTTACAGGCTTATACACAAACACCTTTACACACATATATCCTGCTGGTTCCTAACCTCTCATGTAGAAGCTGGTTCCTAGCCTCTCATGTAGAAGCTGGTTCCTAACCTCTCATGTAGAAGCTGGTTCCTAGCCTCTCATATAGAAGCACTTTGACTTTCAAGGAAACTCCCCTAAATGGCTATCTTTCTTAGAATTGCTTGTTGGAGGCTGTGGGTCTATTCTCTTAACTGAAGTACATCACTTTCCTGTGGTCAGATTTGAAAACATCAGGGTCAGATTTTTAAATACCACTTCATTGTGGTCTGATTTAAAATGTCATGTTACTTGGGCAGATTTTAAATAACATCTGACTGAGGTCAGATTTTTATAATAGGACTTTTAAGCAGTTGGATTTTAGAATACCACTTTACTGTGATTATATTTTATAATACCAATTTAATCTAGTCAGATGTTTAGCGTATCACTTTACTAGATACATTACTTCTCTGTGGTCGTATTTTAGAATATCACTTTATCAAGGTCAGATTTTGAAATATCACTTTATTTGTTCAATTGTAAAATACCTTTCTTTGGTCAAATTTTGAATAACATGTTACCGTGGTCTCATTTTATTTGACTTTTTGGTGGTCAGAGTTAAGAATTCCACTTTACTGTGGTCAGATTTTAGAATATTTCTTTTCTGTGGTCAGATTTAGAATTTGACTTTTAAGTGGTCAGATTTGGAATATGACTTTCAAGTGGTCAGTTTTTAGAATGCCAATTTGCTTCAGGGAAGTCGCCGTGGCGGAGTGGCTAGACGCTCACCGCGGATCTGAAGGTCATGGGTTCGCTTCCTGGCGGGGCGGGACTTTTTCTTAAAAAATGACCTTGAGTGGGTACCGGTTGCAGTTCCAGGAAGTAAAGGCATCTGGTGTGATGTCAACCACATCACCTATCTTGTGCTGCTGATCAGTCTATAAAATATAGATCTAGCCCTACACGGTTAAAGGCGTGGAAAAGGGTGCTTTACTTATTTTACTTTTCTTTAATTTGGTTCAGATTCTGAGTTCTTCTTCTACTACGTTGCATTCACCAACTGTAAACTCCGGCTGAAAGTTCTTGTTGTTCGTCCACTACTGTTCTCTAGTCCTTTTCCAGGTGTTACTATTGGTGTTTGGGAAGTAATGTCTCTCTGCAACAAGGACAAACATGTCTATAACAATACATATTCAACAGTTTCAGTGACACTTTGCTAAAAACAAATAAGAAATAATATATTAATTTATACACTGCACATTTTCTTTTTCTTTACGTTCATTGGCAGTAAACTCCGGAGAAAAACACTGGTTGTTCATCTACATCTGGACTTTAGTCTTGTCAGAACTTGAGTTTTGCGTGCACATTCCATTTGACAGATCTAGCTTATTTGTATGCAGGCTGTTGGTTCCTTGTCTTTCAGGCAGATGCACTACGACTTTGCAGAAAACAACCCTAATAATTTGACTGTTACAACATACTTCTGTTTAGAGTACAAGTAGGTATATTTTTGTTTCCCTTTCACAGAGGGAGCCCTTAACGCACTCGGGAACATATAATGTTCAAGATTTAACAAACACAAATCAGAATAAACAGCCGTTTAAATTTATCAGTACCCCACGTACCAGTGTTAAGACATTTATGTTATATGAACATACTGTACAGTTTGAAACTGTTACAGTCATCTACATCAAATACTGACTGAATCTGTATATGTCCTTTTCTTTAAAAAAAAAATTAAAGCAGAGCCGAATAATGGGAGCTTCCTTTGAAGTCTGCATCTGCCCGAGCGACAAAGAACAACCAAGTGCATGCACACAAATAAACACGCAAAACTCAGGCTCTGGCGTAAAGCCAAAGTCAAAAGGGATGAACAACCCGGACTCTGCGCCAGAGCTTAGGCCCAGTAAACAAAGAATTAGTTTGATCCCTAAATTATTTCAGCACCAGAAGAAGTTGAATCCGTTGCCAGTTTGGGAAAAATTGTGAATGAACTGAAACAAGTTAACCCTGTCGCTCTCAGATGTATACAAAAAATATTTCTTTTTCTATAGATGTCAACTTGACTGTTTATGAGATGCTAGTTAATTCTGAATTTGAGGCTGTACAAACATAAGGTCAGGATGTGAACACATAACAAAACATTTTTTTAAAAAGCCACACTGGCGTCAGATTCCCTCCGTAAACTTCAGTGACAGACAGAGGTCATGGCATGAATCACCAGACACATATATTTTTAATCTCAGGCGGAAAATGTATTCCATTTAATGCTTCATTCTGTTCACACGTTTACTGATCACTTCCTTTATTTATATATATATATATATCGGGGGGGGGGGGGGTATAAATATACACATAAATACATTTAAAAAACTATTACTGACATGTTTAAAAATGTTTTCAAAAATTGTCTTTTAAAGTACATGTTTGAGTGTGGTCTGATTGACATTACCCATTTCTGGTATTTTTCAGAAACAAAGCAAGGGCAGTAAGCAACTAAATCCAACAGTCTTGCTTTTGTTACAAGAAGTGATGTTAAAAGCCAAATTGTAGGGCTTGTTTGGTTGCAAAGACAAAGTTTGTAACACAGAATGAGCACAACCAAACTGCTGAACAAAGAGAGAGAGAGACAGACAGAGAGAGAGAGAGAGAGATCTTGAATGCAGAGATCTTCTGTCACATGAAAAAAGGGTTTCTCTTTCTCTCAAGCATACACACACACTCTCTTGCAAACTCTCTCACATATTATCTCCCTCTTTCACACTACCTTGTTCTCTCTCACTTTCACACAATGTCTCTCTCACACACTACTTCCCTTGATTGATTTCCTACTATCTCTTTCACACACATAGACACACACTCTCTCTCTCTTTTATAACAACTCTCTGTTACACACATATCTACTAGAAACTTTAGATGTGTTATTTAAAAAATGCAACTGTTATGTGAAAGAAGTATGGGGTGCAGGGAGGGGGGAGAGAGAGGGTGGGGGGGGGGGGGGAGAGAGGGGGGGGGGGGGTGGGGGGGGAACACATGCCCAATTTGTGACCACTTAAATTATGATTCTTTTTAAAAATCGACTCACTATCTTTGACTGCTGGCACAGAGACACATATAGACAAACGAGAGACATTTTCTCGCTCTCACTGAAAGTACCCTCATTCAACATCCTGTTTATTCAAAAGGTGTCATAATCATTTTGCATGCAAATCAATCATCTAATGTTGAAAACCAACCAAGCTGTCAAATAAAATAAGCACTGGAACTATAAGGTGTTGTATTCTAACTTGGATGTGTTTCACTTGGGGGGAGGGAGGGGTGCTCAACCTGAGATTCCAGCCTATGTCAGTTCCATCTGGTTCGTCTTCTATGCAGTGTGGTATTGGTAGTCAGGCCTATCCACAAACTTCTACCTCTATGCAGACACAGACAATGTGGTATGCCGTGTAGTGTTGGTAGTCAGGCCTATCCACAAACTTCTACCTCCTGTGCTTTCAATCAATTCTGACACAGAAATAATCTTGCATGGTCGATGCCGTGTAGTGTTGGTAGTTATGTATATCCACAATCTTCTACCTCATGAACTGTCAAATAATTCTGACATAGATGATCTTCCATAGCCCGTGACGTTGGTAGTTATGTCTATCAACATTCTTCTACCCCGTGAACTTTCAATCAATTCAGACACAGATCTTCCACAGTCCACGCGGTGTGGCGTTGGTAGTTATATCTAACCTCAATCTTCTACCTTGAGAACTTTCAATCAATTCAGACACAGATGATCATACATGCTATGATGTCAGACTGTCCAGCATCATTATCTCTTCTGCTCTGCCCTCTCTTCCCCTAAAGTTAGCAGAAGCAAGGTTATTTGGGGTCCACTGCCCAGTTCATCGAGTTGTCCAGCATATCACAAGCCTCACAGTGCCAGGCATAACCTCGAACCTTGGGAGACTTCTTCATGGGCGGATCCAGACAGTTCAGATGGTAGAACAGCATGCATTCATCACACCTGCAGAAAATGGCACAGACACAGACTGTTAACAAAATGTGACAATAAAAAAAAAAAATTTACAAAATTTACAAACAAAAATAAATTGTGGCTCTGAACAAAAGTAGTAAATCTTGGTAGTAAATTGATGCATGAGAAGCTAGATGTTGTGAGGCCCTTTAGTACTGAGTAAACTGTGCGGAGGCACAAACAGATCATTAGGGTCTCAATAGAATGGTGCAGTGATCAGGGGGGATTTGTCTGTAGCTCAATACTCATAAGAGGGGTGAGACAAACATACAATCAAGACTGTTACTGGTACCATCAAAACTGGAACTCTGCTCTTGCTTCTAAAGATCGGAGACAGAGCACTTATGATAATGTCCTAAGTCCTGATGTCCCAAGTCCTATGATGTTGGTTCTTGACTCATAAACAAGAATCACCTAAGTGCTAAATCAATATTTCGAGAATATTGCATCTGTATACTGAGATTTCTCTGCGTGTAAAGTAAAAACTTTGTTGTGACCGATTTTGAGAAGAAATTTACATGTGTGCTGTTCAAATATTGAAAAGTGGCATACAACAGCCCTGAAAATGCACTCGGACAAAAATCGTCAAAGTTGTACTTGTCACTTTGGTGTAGGGTCAACAAGAGTCGCTTTTTTTAACAATCTTTCTTGCTCTTGATCTGCCAATGGGGCATAGATCTCCATGAATTTGTGCCACCATCCTATTTTCTTTTTCCATTAGGTTTTCCGAAATTTCTCTTGAAAAAGAAACAAAAAACAACTAATTTCAATAGAGTCTAGTGCAGCGGTTCTCAACCTGCTGGTTGCGATCCTTTCACTGGGGTGGCCCAAGACCATCAGAAAACACACACTCATTGAAGTTATGAAGGAAAATAATTGTCTGGGAGTTACCACAACATGAGGGATCTGTATTAAAGGGTTACCACAACATGATGGATCTGTATTAAAGGGTTGCCACAACATAAGGGAACTGTATTAAAGGGGCACCACAACATTAGGGAACTGTAGTAAAGGGTCACCACAAAATGAGGGAACTGTATTAAATGGTCACCACAACATGATGGAACTGTATTAAAGGGTTGCCACAACATGAGGGAACTGTATTAAAGGGTTGCCACAACATGGGGGAACTGTATTAAAGGGTTGCCACAACATGAGGGGACTGTATTAAAGGGTTGCCACATCATGAGGGAACTGTATTAAAGGGTTGCCAAACATGAGGAAACTGTATTAAAGGGTTCCCCCACAACATGAGGGAAGTGTAAAAAAGGGTTGCGTCATTAGGAAATTTGAGAGCCTCTGGCCTAGTAGCAGATGAGCTTATCCTTTAACTCTTTCAGTCCCAATCAAATTGCCATACGTGACCAGCTATTTTTCATGTGTACCAAACAACAAATTATGCAACTATTTGGCCTAACCATTCTGTAGAAACTTGGTTATTTCTTCTTCACGTTCAGCAGCTGTCAACTTCAGCAGAAAGTTCTTGTTTTTCATCCATTTCTTTAGTCTTGTTTCAGAACCTAAGTGTTAGGTGCACATCCATTTTACTTCTTTCTTCTTCTCTTCCACTTTATACCTCTGTGAAGTGTTGAAGGGAGATGAAATGTTCGTTGAGGAGCTCTGTCAAAAGCACTATTAAGACTGATGTTCATTTCTGTAAGGCTGTTCTTAATGCCATCACTCCATGTTTCCCGAGGTCTTCCGCTCGCTCCATACCCGTTGTAACGTTCCAATGTAGCTCGCTGTCGTAGATATTACCAGGGCATTCATTTTACTGATCTGGCTTATTCCTATGCAGATTGTTGGTTCTTTGTCTCTCAGGCAAATTGGCTCCAACTTCAAAAGAAGCTCCCCCCCCCCCCCCCCCCCCCCCACCCAGCTAACTCTCAAGACATGCTTGTTGGGGAGGTAGTGAGTCTGTTCTTGGCCTTGGAGCCCACTTGGAGAGCTAGTTACTCTAATACCCAGCTTAGTAAATGAGATGCTGTACTGTGATAATTATTCTCTCACACTTCAATTACGTGCATGATGATTATCTTTGCCTTGTCATGTTCCGCACAATTTCCTAGTCATTAAAGAGTTTAGAAACATGAGATCATTTGTTAAGAACATTCATCATTATCATCATCTGAGAACATATAAAATCATCATCTGAGAGCATACAACATCATCTTCATCGTACACGGAAACAAAATAGCTACCTGACTGTGTCGCCCATACAACCATATCTGTTGCACACTACACACATGATCTCCAACACACTGCTGTTGTCTTCTGCTGCTGCTGCTGGCTGTACAGCTCTAGATGAGGATGATGATGATGAGGAAGAGGATGTGGAAGTCTGTGCATGGGAAACTGAATCGTCTAACCATGCTTTCTTCACCGGCGATTTTGACACCACCGGCTGAGATTTCAGCGCTCTTGTTTTCATACCACTCTTTGCTGGGCTGGTGACCACAGGCTTGGACAAGTTCTGCAATCAAAGATGATGTGATAATTTGTTATCTCAGATTAGGTGATTATTTGTCATCTCAGAAAGGTGATAATTTGTCATCTTCATATAAGTGATAATTTGTCATCTTCAGATAAGTGATAATTTGTCATCTCAGAAAGGTGATAATTTGTCATCTTCATATAAGTGATAATTTGTCATCTTCAGATAAGTGATAATTTGTCATCTTCAGATAAGGGGATATTTTGTCATCTCAGATAAGGTGATAATTTGTCATCTTCAGATAAGGTGGATGTCAGGGTTCGCCCTGTTATGGGACAGTTCAGGATGATGATGATGAATCTCGTCATCGTACCCTGCGACAATTAGTGCAACTCAGTACGTGCATACACACGTAGAAACGAGCATGAGCAAAGCGTAGCTTGGTCATTGACCAGCGGACTTCGCACAGGTGTGCACATTTTAGACCGGACGCTGGACGCTTGCTTGGGGGACTGCTAGGAAATGGGACGTGGGACGAGAGTGGAGATTTTAGTGACCGTTTGCTTTGACTTGTAGATAGGTACCAGTGTAGTTATTAGCTGTAACGTGTTCTGTTCGTAGTGTCATTAAATGTATTTCGTTCGTTACAGAGTGTCATGTAAAGTAGTAGCTAGACTGTGGCAGTAGCTGTAACTAGAAGCCAGACCATGTTTTGTTGGTGGCGTTAACACTGTCGACGCACTTAGGCCTACACATTGGCGTATGCCATAACGTCTTTGGCATCGAGAGATAGCGGGTTGAGCTGGCACTGTACGGGAGAGTGGTAGCGGCTCAGAGCTTATTTCATGAACGTGTAAAGGCGCCTCTAAGCGATTTTAAAGTTAGACGCGGCCTGGTTTTAGAATAAGGAGCGCTACTCCTCCTGAGGTGTACCACCACTTCGTTTGCATCTTTGGTAATAAAGATTGTGTGTGTGTTGCAACAAGTGTTTGGCTTGAGTGTGTTTGTACGGTGTTTTCCTGTCATTAGCCTATAGCAGAGCCAATGGAATCGAGCCCTAGACAGTAAGGTTTCTGACAGTGATAATTTGTCATCTTTAGATAAAGTGATAATTTGTCATCTCAAATAAGGTGATTATTTGTCATCTTTAGATAAGGTGATCATTTGTCATCTTTAGATAAGGTGATCATTTGTCATCTTCCCCGTGTAGATTTCAGGAACCCATTTTGTGATGAAAAATTAATAGACTCTTCTTCTTCTGAAAGTCTATGCCGTGTGGCACAACCTTCTATCTCATGTACTTTCAATCAACTATCACACAGATGGTCTTGCACAGTCCATTTCATGTGGCATTGATAGTTATGTCTACCCACAACCTATCTCATGTACTTTCAATCAACTCTGACACAGATAACCCTCTATGCTGTGTGGCGTTGGTAGTCATGTCTATCCACAACCTTTTATCTCACGCACTTTCAATCAACTCTGACACAGATAATCCTCCATGCCATGATGTCAAACTGTCCAGCATCTGATCTTTCTGTCTCCCTCTGCCTCTCTTCCCCTCCAACTTTCCTACCGTCTCAAGGTACTCCGGTATTCTCCTTCTCATTAATAGACTCACTGTGTAGAATCCATAAAACAATACTCTAACAAAAAAAATAACTTGTAAAAACAGGTTCCTACCCAAATTAAAAAAGAAACAAGTGACCTACTTCTAAAATTGTCTTCAGAATAAATAAAGGTCAATAAATATGAACAGGGTCAAGAATTAAATGAAATAAATTCTCCGAGCCTAAAAAATGTATTTGCTCCTTCTTACTGTGACCCCATTATCATGTTAGTATAATTATCCTATGTCTGAAAACCTGAACCATTTGGCTTCTAGAAAGGTGTTTTAAAAAAAAAAAAGCAGAAAATTAAGTGTGTTCATGAGTCTGCATGTGAGCGAGAGATAGAGAAAGAGAGAGAGAGAGAGAGAGAAATCAATTACCCGTAATGATCCAACACTCTTAGCCTTGGCAGCCTCTCTTCGTTGCTTGCTTTTTTTATTCAGCAAACTTTTCTTCTGTTGCATCTGTGAAATAAACATTACATATGACATTCCGACGAGCCAAAGCACTTATATATCAACTGACACAATTAACACATCCAAACATAAGTATGACTGCCAAGTAAGAGATTATCAACAGCATACTCACACCAATCATGTGCTAGCAGTGCTAGACTTGGGCATTATGAAAGGCTAACTTATGTCAAAATTACCACCTGTGAAAAAAAGATACCTAAGAAAAGCCACCAACCATCTGAGACAAGGAAATGATACCAGAGAGACTGTGGGAACCTCACCATGCAGAAAACTGACCGAGAAACAGAAGATCGAATGGTCTAGTCATCTGGTAAGAACGCAGCCAGAACAACTAGCAACTCAGTGGCTACACCTGAAAAGATCTGATGTTAAAGAAAGAGGCCACCCTCGGAGAACATGGACCGATGACATTAAAGAGCTTCAATGACATGGAATAACAATAGCCATTGCTGCCCCTCAAGCAATGGATGGCAAACTGCTCCTTCCCTACAACACTTAACAGCAGAAGTGAAAATTGACAATGATGATGATATCCTAATGAAAACCCAGCTGTATGGAACCGTGGCAGACACGTGTTGCACCACAGACTTCGTAGAGGCCTGTGACTTTTTCATCTGAAAACCACTGATAGAGAGACAAAAATAAGAAGTAGGAAAATTCTGAGACATGGAGGAGACTGAGCCCCAAAGACTGCGGCAAATGCAAATATCCCTAGCAGCGAACCTCCACTGTGGTGACAGAACAGTTTGAGAATGCTAAGAATATCCTGGGCTCCTTCTTCTTGGGGCTCCGCTGGTGTGATGTTGACCTCATCACCAACCAAGTGCTATGTGGTCTATGAAATACTGGTCTAGCCCTATATGCCTGATAGGCCTTCAGGCGTGGAAAAGGCTCCTTGACATTACTTTTACACTTTGTTCTTGAAGTTGGTGCCGGCACAGATTTTACCGGCACATATCATCATCTCCATCAATTATCAGGTCCTTCACAGAACGTTGCTCTCGTCACATAATACCTGAAACTCTCTCATTCTTTAGTCTCTACTGCGGCCAAGTAAACTGTGACAGAAAGCTCTGGTTGTTCATTCACCTGGACTTTAGTCTTCTTCCAGAAGCTGAGTTTTGCCTGTAGATCAGTTTTACATGTCTAACATATCTGTATACAGATTGTTGGTTCCTTGCCTCTCAGGCAGATGAACTCTGACTTTAAAGGATGCCCCCAATTAGTCAACTCCTATGACATGCTTGTTGGGGAGGCAGTGGGCCTATTCATGTTTTCCCCACAAGAGGGCCCAGGAACCCACACAGGGATATCCTGGCCTAAACACCAACCAAACAATTCTAAATATAGAACAATTAACAGTCCTTTATTAATATCTTTGCCCAGATGACATCACGGGACAGTCCAACATTTAAGAGGGTAGTAGACAGAGTTTCCCGGCTTTCTGATGCTTTCAACGACCCCAAAATATCTAGAACCGGCCCTAAACCCAGCCCACCTATGTCCCACGGAAGAGTGCAGCCTAGGTCCCACGACTGCACGCAGCCTATCTACCACCCCCTGAAATATTTGACTGTCCCGTGACCTGTGGATTTTCCCTGTTTGGGTAGGATATTAATAAAGCACCCAATTAACTCTTAACTAAAGAAGGAAGTTTATGATACATCAATGTCCCCATGTGGGTTAGGCCCCCGTGTGGGGGGAAAATGAGAGCAGACCCACTGCTCCACTGAAAAGCATCTTGTAAAAGACGAATAAGGAGTTTCCTTCAAAGTGACTGCATCTGCCTGACAGGTGGAGAACCAACAGTCTGCATACACAAAAAAAGCCAGATCTGTAAAACGGATGTACATGCAAAATTCAAGTTCTAGAAGAGGACCAGAGTCCAGAAGTGGCTGAACAACCAGAATACTCCATCAGAGTTTACAGCTGGTGGACACAAAGAATAGGACTACATCAATTTTAAAGAAATAGTTGCTTGTCAGAAACACCTTTGCAGATTGCTGGTTGTTCAACTGTTTGCAGTTTTGGCAACTTATGATTTCACATGTACTATCAGTGCCAACAAGTGTATCCCTAGAAGGGGTTGTCATTCGCCTTTTTACTGTTGCAGTTTTGGCAACTTATGCTTTTCCCTCGTACTTTCAGCTGTATCCCTAGAAGGGGTTGTCATTCGCCTTTTTACTGTTGCAGTTTTGGCAACTTATGCTTTTCCCTCGTACTTTCAGCGCCAACAAGTGTGTCCCTAGATAGAGTTTTCACTGGCCTTATCACTGTTGCAGTTTTGGCAAAATGACCCTGGTGCCACTTGTCCCTAGAAAGAGTTTTCAAGCAGTTGCAGTTTGGCAAAAGACTGGGACTTCAAGCAGTATTCCGCACACTGCACTAAATTACTGTCATCTGTGAAACTGCATGGCATCAGCTCCCCATTTGTGAACCCTTAACAATGATGCACATCCAGTTTTTGGAGTATATGTCATATACAAAAATAATTGTGCAGTCTAAATATTACAAATTATGTTTAAAAAAAAAAAAAAACTTTCACAAAAAAAAAAACCACCCACGAAATAAGATGTTTGAGAAAGGCTACAAGCAACAAAAGTGCCCTATGGTGGCGGGGGTGGGGGTGGGAGACAGACACCCCCCCCCCCCCCCCAACAAAAAAAACATTATTAAAGGCGACAAATTAGATGTGTTTTTTTTCTAATGTCTGAGTGCATCTGCGTGAGACATAAGAAACCAACAGTCTGCATACAAATAAAAGAACTGTAAACTTTGCAAAAAAAAACTAAAATGCACCCACGAAACAAAAGTTTGAGAAAGGCGAACAAGCAATTTCCCAAAAGTGCCCAGGTGGTGAGTGTGGGGGTGGGAGATAATTACCCCCCCCCCCCCCCAACAACAAAAGCGATTATTAAAGGCGACAATTAGAGAACTTTTTTCCGGCTCCTGAGTGGTCTCCCGTGAGAGATAAGGGCTCATCAATAGTCTGCATACAAATAAGCTAGAACTGTAAAGGGATGTGCACGGAAAACTAAAATGCAGTAACAAGACAAAAGTCTGGAAGCGGACGAACAACCAGGATTTCCCAACACAGTTTACAGCTGGTGAGTGTTTAAATGAGGAAATAATTATGGCATGAAGTTTGCATTAACCTTGAGTGAGTCCTGTATGGACAGACCAGATGAAAGAACTCTCCGCCTCCTAGAATGGGTCTCCCTCGAGTTTCACAGCTCATCATGTCTGGGGCACTCTTAGATTGAAATCAGTCATTCTTGAGAACGTACAGTAAGAGCACTGCCTACAGACAGACACAGTCAAAGGGTACATACAATATAAATCTGATATGACTTGTGAAGAAGAGAATAATCAAATCAATCACAAAAACTACAGACACCAGCTCAAGACGATTACTTTATTATGGACAGACCAGAACAAGTCATTCTATGCCATAGAACAAGGTACAATCGACTTCACAGCTACATACATACCAAATTTAGGATTGGTGAATCAGCCGTTCATGTTAACGGCACTACAATCAAACAAGTATGAGAATTCAAAAATCTAGGAAGCATATTTAAGGAGGATGGCAGACTCGACAGAGAGATAGAAGCCAGAATACAGAAGGCAAACACTGTCACCTACTAGTTAGCCCCACCGTTAGACACCCAACACTAGAACAGAAAATAGCTTCATTTGAAATGTGCTGTCTCCGCAAGGTCACTAACAACACTAGACTAGAAAGGGTTACAAATACCAGCATTAGAGAGAAAGTTGGAATAAGACCATGTATGGATTATATTGACAGGTAAAGAATGAAATGGTTCGGCCATCTAGTGAGAATGCAGCCAGACCAGACTGCACATGAGACTTTCTACAGTAGAACATCTGGGAGGAAGGCGAGAGGAAGACTGAGAAAGAGATGGATGAATGGTGTAGCTGAAACCGCAAAAAAATAAACAAATCCATCACTCAAGCCACCCGAGAAGTGCAAGACAAAACCATGACAAAGGGATACAACCTGGTATCAGTAAGACGACAAAAGAAAAAAGAAAGGGAGAAGAAGAACAAGAATAATCAGAAATGTGCACCTGAGACAACAGATCACGTCCTCCAAGACTGTTTCAAATACAAGAGATCAAGGCAAAACTTCTGTCCAAGAGCAACATCGGCCAAAGCTAAACTTTATAGGTCACAGAGAAAACAAAAGACAGTGAAGTTCATACTAGAGACAACACTGCAGATATAGATAATCTATTTCAAGCAGACAAACAAAGATCAAGAAGTAGATATAACTTTAAAAAGTGCTAAGTACCAATCTCTCAAATATCAACCACAGCATGAAAAATGTAAAAACTAATTTTTTCCGACAAATAAAAATAGAATATGTACTGGTAAGAGATTGAAAATGTAACAGAATTTAGGCTGAATAGTAAACAACAATAGTGACTGCACAACAGAAGTCAGAAAAAACTTTCTTTAGCAATGCAGAGGCTAAACAGCTTGAAGAACCAATCTATGGCACAGCACATGCAACTTTCCGGTGGTAACTTACGAATGTGATCAAGGACTCTTACTGAATCAATAAAGACAAATACATGTAAGCTTCTGAACTGAAATACTACAGAAATTACGGAGTTCATGAGGCATTGAGACACTTCAGACTCAGGCTTGAGTTAAAAGTAGAACTGAGCACTTACGGGTGGCACCCGTGTGCCATGATGTTGATCCACTGTTCAAACCTCTTGTTGGGGTAGGGGGGCAGGGGGCGAAGGAGGCGTGGGTTTATTCTCTTGTCCCCCCAAAATGGGGCACTTTTGCTTGTTGTGTGTCTCAGACATCTTATTTCATGGGTGGGTTTTTTTTTAACTGTCAGAATGTCATTGACCAAGAAGAAGACCCCCATCAACATCCTACATGAGGACAATTTAACTGCCGGCTCATGTGCCAAATCTGCCTCGCAGAGGCCTAGCAAGTGGCCCGCGGATGAAGGCCTAGCAAGTGGCCCGTGGATGCAGGCCTAGCAAGTGGTCCATGGATGAAGGCCTAGCAAGTGGCCCGTGGAAGCAGGCCTAGCAAGTAGCCCGTGGATGAAGGTCTAGCAAGTGGCCCACGGATGAAGGCCTAGCAAGTGGCCCGTGGAAGCAGGCCTAGCAAGTAGCCCGTGGATGAAGGTCTAGCAAGTGGCCCGCGGATGAAGGCCTAGCAAGTGGCCCGTGGATGCAGGCCTAGCAAGTGGTCCATGGATGAAGGCCTAGCAAGTGGCCCACGGATGAAGGCCTAGCAAGTGGCCCACGAATGCAGGCCTAGCAAGTGGCCCTAGGATGAACACCTAGCAAGTGGCCCACGGATGAAGGCCTAGCAAGTGGCCCACGGATGAAGGCCTAGCAAGTGGCCCATGGACGAAGGCCTAGCAAGTGGCCCTAGGATGAAGGCCTTGCAAGTAGCCCGTGGATGCAGGCCTAGCAAGTGGTCCACGGACGAAGGCCTAGCAAGTGGCCCGCGGATGAAGGCCTAGCAAGTGGATGACCATCCCTCTGTATTGTATTAATTCTATTCTGGGTCTCAGCCCGCTGGCCTGCGAAAATCAATTCACCACCCAGTGGTGCCAATCCAGAAAATCTGTTCATTACCCTTGATGACAGCACGGCCTGGAAAAAAGATATATACAGGACAGAAGTAACCAACTACTGCAAAACCTATCACATTTTCAACTTTGTAAATAAAATTCAAAAATCCATATAACAAATCCTATGAAAAAAATTCTTTCCATGCAGGAAGTAAACGGTCACCCTGCTACTGCCTGCTTGCTTGGGAAGAGGCGGGTGGATGAACTAAAAGGCACCACCCCTCTCGCTAACTAGACATTCCTTGCCTGTAACTGCATACCCCACAGCCATTCAGTCCATCAGCGTCTTGGAATTTGTTTTACACCGTGGTTGTCTCATCTGGATCGATTTTGTTTTGTGCCTCTTGGGTAATGCACAAAGGTCTCGAGTGTAGAATGGTTTCTTGGTCAGGGAGCTTATGGGCGTATAGGTATGAGTACCCATAGGGCCGGACCCAGTTCTAAAAAGGGGGAAGCACAACTTTTTTAGTTCTTCACAAAAATCCTGACATAAACTGACCATCCATACAGCTTGGTTTTCTTGGGCATGCGAGTCAGTGGAGGCTCCAGACATCCCAAATGGTAGTGCTTGTTGCATCTGTCACATTTAGCTAGAAGGTGCTGCTCCGTGGTCTTGTGGCAGACTCCACATCTGAAAGTGAGAGAAAATAGGATCACTGCAGTTGAGCTAATAAAAAAGAGGTAACTGGGAACAAACTTATGATTTGGAGGATTAATGAGAGGACAATCAGGCATTTTCGCCCCCCAAAAAAAGATGAGAGATCATAGATAAGTGACTCTACCATGCTCGGGCTGGCGTCTAAGATTTAAATTCTTCTTGTTGTGCCTTTCACGGATGAAGGACTCGGCTGAAACATTTAATCTTTCCTCTGTGTGTGTTGTTTTTTAACCTCTCTTGCATCAGCTAGTTTCCTAGTCATGGTTTGTGTTCAGTGAATTCATTTCCACATTTAAAATAATCATAAGGGCCAAAAACAAACTGTCTTGAACAGAGCTTTCCAAACTGTGTGATGCAACACATTAGCCTGTCAGCTGCAGTGTGAAGGTGTGCTGTGTGAAGGTAATTTTGTATGTATGTGTCCGTATCATTATCATCATCACAGAGTGCCTTGCCGACTGGTGTGGATGATCATGCCTCTCCACAATCTTGTGATCTTCAACAGCATGTATCCGGTCGTGTGCTGACACCCCTCTATGCCATGACAGAAGGCTGTCAAATAATGTCTCATGTTGTCTTTCTCTATCTCTTTTTTGCATAGATCTTTCCAGGTCAAATGTTCCGGTTTCCTTCTTCTCATAACATGATAAAAAAATGATCAGTCTCTTTCAGATATTTGTGAATAAGTGGTTTGCTAGTAGACTGAATTATTGTGTTGCCAATCTGGGTTTGTCTAGAACATACACCACCAACAAGAAATATTCGGAAGGCTCGCCTAAAAAAAAAAAAAAACAGTATGGCGAGCTAAACAATTTGTATGGGCCCGCGAGGGTGGTGTGAAATTACAATATAATCTGCCCTTCCGAACTTTCTTGCAGTGATAAGATTCTTGCCAATAACCAGCTTGTACATATATTTAGGAATAAACAGAAGCGTCTCAGTGGGTGAGTGTGTGGCCAGAGTTGTAGCAAGGAACAATCTCAGACTATCCCAAACAAATTCGGTGCTATGAAGAAATGTGGGTGTTTAGTTTTAAACTGATTGTTTTTTCATCTAAATGACTTACGACCAGACGGGTAATTCTAAATTTGGCCTGCAGATCAAACAAAGGTTGCCCACCCCTGTTCTAGATCTACCTCGTCTACCATCATGTTATTTATAAGACTGAACAAGCAGCTGTGTTAGTGTTTGCGATCTATGAAGTTCTTTCCGAAATATGTTTTCTCGTCATGGACTGCTATACTGTGCACATTTTTACTGCAAGACATATTACATTTTTTAGGTGGGATTAGTGTGTATTATGAGCAGTGGCTGGCCAAATTGTTAGAATGCTGGGCTTTTGTGCGGGAGACCAGGTTTCAAATCCTCGGTAAGGTTGGGGAGTTTTTCTGTTGGGGGCAAAAATAAAATCCTCACCTGCACAGTCCGTGGTGACAGCACAAGTCATGGGGCCCTAAATCCTCAGGCTCAAAGGGCCCCCTACCTTCACCGCAAAAGTGGTATAATAAAGGAAGTATCTGGCAGTTTTGGCAGAAGCAGTGTATAAATGGCTGTGCTATGTCGAGGGGGTGTGAGGTGGGGAGAATGATGACTGATAGAGATCGCAACCTCAACCAGGCTGGTGGTGCCCTATATGCAATATCACGTAATTCTAGTAGTGGACTGTTTATGTTGGCACTTCTGATGTTGCCCTATGCACTTAATGCGTGTGTACGATACTGGCTGTGCCGAAACTGCAGTTTGTTTTAATGAAAAACAGTGATGGGCATCCTGTGTGGTTTTCACTATCACAGGAACATAGTAATTATGGGGCGGGCAGTTTGCCATGAAGTCGGAACCGTGATTAACTGATTACAAACAGAATGATAAATTATGTCTTCATTGACATGATAATAACAGAACTATCTGGCAACCTACTGATTGATCAATGCAGACGAAGATGTTGCAGTCTCTTTCTTACTTGGGGACCTTGTTCTTTTCTTGCTCTTGAACACTTCAGGAATATGTGGAACAGGCTGCCAATTAAAATGAATCAACAGTGTATTAAATACATACACATGTTGAAAAAACAAAACGGCACAAGATGGGTGTTGTGGTCAGCATCACCCTGGCCGCCTTTACTTCCTAGGACTGCATATGGTACCCTGGGTCGATCTGGAAGAGAAGGTCATTTTTGAAAAAAAGTCCGGCTCCGCCAGTAAGCAAACCCATGACCTTCTATTTGGCAGGTGAGCATCAAGCCGCTATGCCATGGTGACTCCCACAGACACGTGTTACTGAATAACCTGAACACCACAGATTAGGAAGTGTAATGAAGATGTTTAAAAACAAACACATTAACTCACAAAAAGAGCCAATCTTCCTTGTGTGTGTTCCGGAACCACTATTTGCAGGGGGAAGGGGAAGTACAGACACACTGCTCCCCCATCAAGCATATTCTAGGAGGTGACTAATTATGGGGTTTTTCCTAAGAAGTCAGAATGCATCTGCTTAAAGGGTGAGAAACAGAATGCATCTGCCTAAAGGGTGAGAAACTGAATGCATCTGCCTAAAAGGTGAGAAACTAAATGCATCTGCCTAAAAGGTGAGAAACTGAATGCATCTGCCTAAAAGGTGAGAAACTGCATGCATCTGCCTAAAAGGTAGGAAACTGAATGCATCTGCCTAAAGGGTGAGAAACTGAATGCATCTGCCCAAAAGGTGAGAAACAGAATGCATCTGCCTAAAAGGTGAGAAACTGAATGCATCTGCCTAAAAGGTGAGAAACTGAATGCATCTGCCTAAAAGGTGAGAAACTGCATGCATCTGCCTAAAAGGTAGGAAACTGAATGCATCTGCCTAAAAGGTGAGAAACTGAATGCATCTGCCTAAAAGGTGAGAAACTGAATGCATCTGCCTAAAAGGTGAGAAACTAAATGCATCTGCCTAAAAGGTGAGAAACTAACAACATGCACAGAAATAAAAAATGCAAGCAAAACTCAAGTTCTGGAACAATACTAAACTGCAGATGGGGACATACAACCAGGATTTTTGATCTAAATTCAGCCTGTAGATGCTAAGAAGACCTAGATCAGAAATAGACACAAGGCACGAACAAGGCAGATGTAGTCAAGGCCCTTTGGGAACAAGCTACGGAATCAGTAGAGAAACAAGATTCTTATGACCTGGAGAGAATGAGGCACCTGGGTGTAATCAGAGGGTCTGGCCGGCTGACTACACTCAGAGGGTCTGGCCGGCTCACTACACTCAGAGGGTCTGGCCGGCTCACTACACTCAGAGGGTCTGGCCGGCTCACTACACTCAGAGGGTCTGGTCAGCTCACTACACTCAGAGGGTCTGGCCGGCTCACTACACTCAGAGGGTCTGGCCGGCTCACTACACTCAGAGGGTCTGGCTGGCTCACTACACTCAGAGGAAAGGCAAGACAGACATATAACCAGATTGTGACCAGTACTATGAGTATTGAAACTCTGCACTGGCTGCTGAAGATGAGGACACAGCATGCATGGTAATACAACAAGTGCTGTCATGTCAATTCTTGACTCAACTCACCTCAAGTAGACATAGACAATCTACATTCTTTGCTTGCGCTGTGGAAAGGAGTTTAGTTAAGTTGAGCTGAGTCAAGAATGTGGAAAGGAAAAAAAAACAAAGTACATACTGACAATGGTAAAACTGAAGGGGAAGAAATGTAGCGGGAGACTAAGAGAAAATATTGAAGTGACGTCATGGTACTGAAGAACATCTGGTAGAAACAGGTTTCCTAGTCAGGGCACTGAAAAACATCTGGTAGAAACAGATTTCCTAGTCAAGGCATTGAAAAACATTTGGTAGAAACCGTTTTCCTAGTCAGGGCACTGAAAAACATATGGCAGAAACACTGGTAGAAACCGTTTTCCTAATCAGGACACTGAAAAACATGGTAGAAACAGGTTTCCTAGTCAGGACACTGAAAAACATATGGCAGAAACAGGTTTCCTAGTCAGGACACTGAAAAACATATGGTAGAAACAGGTTTCCTAGTCAGGACACTGAAAAACATATGGTAGAAACAGGTTTCCTAGTCAGGACACTGAAAAACATATGGTAGAAACAGGTTTCCTAGTCAGGACACTGAAAAACATATGGCAGAAACACTGGTAGAAACAGGTTTCCTAGTCAGGGCACTGAAAAACATCCGGTAGAAACCATTTTCCTAGTCAGGGCACTGAAAAACATCTAGCAGAAACAGGTTTCCAAGACAGGACACTGAAAAACATATGGCAGAAACACTGGTAGAAACAGGTTTCCTAGTCAGGACACTGAAAAACATCTGGTAGAAACAGGTTTCCTAGTCAGGACACTGAAAAACATCTGGTAGAAACAGGTTTCCTAGTCAGGACACTGAAAAACATCTGGTAGAAACAGGTTTCCTAGTCAGGACACTGAAAAACATCTGGTAGAAACAGGTTTCCTAGTCAGGACACTGATAAACATCTGGTTTACTTCCCAGAGCTTTTAGGGGATATAAAATATTACATACTTCTACAGAATCAGATATGAAGAGAAGCATAACTGTCCCTACCAGTTGACACGCACTTATCTTTGTCGCCTTTTGTCAATATTTGCTTTGTGCTGCCAGGTGTCACAGTTTAACAGGTTGTGCAGTGTGGGCCTGCTCGGCTGTTTGGTATGCTCTGATGTTGTGAAGCTGTGATGTTGTGATGTTGTGAAACTGTGATGTTGTGAAGCTGTGATGTTGTGAAGCTGTGATGTTGTGAAGCTGTGATGTTGTGAAGTTTCACACAGCTAGTCATCATCATCATCATCATCAATTTCCACATCAGCTGTTAGGCAATATGGAGAGGAACAGTTTCTGATCCATTGCTTGATGGGCAACAATGGCTATTGTCATTCCGTATCAATGTAGAAGCTCTTTAATGTCATCAATCCACATTCTATTAGGACAGCCTCTTGCTTTCGCTTCAGATATTTTCATGTGTAGGTACTTGTCCTGGCTGCATTCTTACTAGATGACCAAACCATTTGAGCTAGTGAATTCTATAATCCAACTGCTTCTTGGTCTTCCTTTGCCTCTTGGTATTCCCATGTTGATGTTATAGACGCTCACTGCCGGTTTCATTCTCACCAGGTCACCAAAACATTTGAGTCTTCGTGTCCTATTAGTCTTAGGCTTAGTCAAGGCTTCAGTTTCACTATCATCAAATCACCTCATACCTGCCCAGTTGCTGTGCTAGTGAAAATCAAATGAAATGCCCCATTTTGTCCCATTTGAAAACTGGTGAATAAACAGTTAGTCCGGCACAATCCAGAAATATGCACACAGAGTAAATGCATAAGGGAGTTGGAGTTGCTAGAGATGCCAAAGTCAACAGTCGCCACCAGAAATGCAGTTTGTCACTGATGAAAGTGGTCTGTCGCGATAAGTTAGCCATACATATGTGAAATTATTATATAAGGTATTTTGCCAGCCCACACATAAACCAGCGATACCGAATTGCATGACTTGACTGCTGCACAAATAAAAGGCAATCCACAAGAGAAAAAAAGCTCACAGTGCCGCACCAAGCACTTAACTCAGCAGCTTAGGCAGTGAAATCCTGGACTTCTATCTATATATGGAAACTGCTTTAGCAAAGTGCTGTAAGAAGCAAAAATAACTTGGAAGCTGAACATTCTGCCATGCTAGTCCTCTATACTGAGCCAGAAGTCGTGCATAATTCTGACTGCAAAATGTATCAAACACACCATCAACTATCAACTTATTTAGTAAGGCTGCTACCACAACCAACCTTTCCGTAGATATCTTGCAGCATGCCATACAAGGACTCCACCTCTCTCTTGATACTGCTTCCCTGCTTATTCAACTCATTCACCTCTGTGTGAAGCTGAAGACAAAATTATCTTAGAAGTAAATATGTAAAAAGTCATTGTCATCAATTCCCATCTACCATCACTCAACTTAATTCACCACCTACCATTACTTAACCTAATGCAACATTTATCATCACCTAATTCATTAACTAACTTTCACTCAACTTAGCTCACCATCTACCATTTCTCAACTTAATTCACCATCTACCATCATACAACTTAATTTACCACCACTGGAGATGTTGATCCCAGACATTTAAATGTAGATGCCTGTAATCTACCACTACACAATTTAATTCATCATCAACAACCACTCAACATAATTCACCATCTACCTTCACTGAACTTAATTCACCACCTACCGTCAATCAATTTAATTCACCATCTACCAACACTAAACCTAATTCACCATCTACCATCAATTACCATCTACCATCACTCAACTCAATTCACTATCTGCCATCAATCAACTTAATTCACCACCTACCATTAACCAATTTAATTTACCATCTGCCATCAATCAACTTAATTCATCATCTACCATCACTTAACCTAATTCACACCTAACACCACTCACCTTAATATACCATCTACAATCACTCAACTTAATTCACCACCTGCCTTGACTCAACATGTCACCATCTACCATCAATCAACTTAACACAGCACCAACCTTATCATACTGGCTGCGTACGACTTTCTCTTGTGACTGCAGCTTCTTGTTCTGTGAGGTCAAATCCAACAGATTAATCTTCAGATTACCCACTTTAATGTTTCTGTCTGAAATATCAAGATAAATTTTTTGTCTGAAATATCAAAATAAAGTTTTTGTCTGAAATATCAAGATCAAGTTTCTGTCTGAAATATCAAGATAATGTTTCTCTCTGTCTGAAGTATCAAGATAATTTTTTTTCTCTGAAATATCAAGATAATTTTTCTGTCCTAAATATCAAAATAATGTCTGTATTTTGAAAATAAAAAAAATTCAATCTGAACACCCTGTCACTGGGAAAGGGGTGGGGGAGGCTCGTAGAACGTGGTCTAGCTAACCCAAAACTTAGTTTGCTTTAACTGCATCAGATGTTAATTTTGTCATCTAATTTACCATCTTCGACAAATGTTGATCCCGGACATTTAAACTCAGATACCTGTTTGATACCTTTGTACTCTACTGCTGACTGTTACTTACCCAGGAAATAGCTGATAAACTCAGATACCTGTTTGATACCTTTGTACTCTACTGCTGACTGTTACTTACCCAGGAAATAGCTGATAAACTCAGATACCTGTTTGATACCTTTGTACTCTACTGCTGACTGTTACTTACCCAGGAAATAGCTGATAAACTCAGATACCTGTTTGATACCTTTGTACTCTACTGCTGACTGTTACTTACCCAGGAAATAGCTGATAAACTCAAGATACCTGTTTGATGGGGATACCTTTGTACTCTACTGCTGACTGTTACTTACCCAGGAAATAGCTGATAAACTCAAGATACCTGTTTGATACCTTTGTACTCTACTGCTGACTGTTACTTACCCAGGAAATAGCTGATAAACTCAAGATACCTGTTTGATACCTTGGTACTCTACTGCTGACTGTTACTTACCCAGGAAATAGCTGATAAACTCAAGATACCTGTTTGATACCTTGGTACTCTACTGCTGACTGTTACTTACCCAGGAAATAGCTGATAAACTCAAGATACCTGTTTGATACCTTTGTACTCTACTGCTGACTGTTACTTACCCAGGAAATAGCTGATAAATTCTGATGTAAATGCTGGCTGACCCTGAGCCTTCTTCCTCATTTCTATTTTTTCTGCTGGTACAGTCTGGGCCTAAACAAGGCAGACAAATAAAAGGTAAATATAAAGACAAATATGGTACAGTCTGGGCCTAAACAAGACAGATAAATATGGTACAGTCAGGGCCTAAACAACACAGACAAATATGGTACAGTCTGAGCCTAAACAAGACAGATAAATATGGTAAAGTCAGGGCCTAAACAACACAGACAAATATGGTACAGTCTGGGCCTAAACAAGACAGACAAATATGGTACTGTCAGGGCCTAAACAACACAGACAAATATGGTACTGTCTGGGCCTAAACAACACAGACAAATAAATTATCATTTCAATATATTATTTTTTCTCTTTAGTATCGAAGTCAATCTTACAGGTTAGGAATTTATTTTTGCCATCGATAAAAGCAGATCCATCTTTGCATTCTTCTCTTAAACTAAATCTCTGCTGCAAATAAATGTTTTTCAGCTTGTTTGCTTATTGTCCGTTTCTACTCAGTGGTGCAGCACCAAATGTCTGCCGGTTCATTTCCCAACACATCTGCATACCCTTGAGAAAAGATCCAAAGGATTTAACTATCAGGGATCTCTGAAGTGAAGCTTGCCACTGTGCACGCAGCATGTCTTTCTTCTCTTTTCTCAGCATGCTTTGTGAGTCTACTACAATAACAACATGTGTGTGTGCAGCAGGTCCTGAAGTCAGAGGAAAGCTTCTGTGACTGCCTCCATCCTCACTCTCAAACTAGATGTTGTGATATCAAATCCTGGGCTTTGTTGCAATAAGCTTTTGCAATGAATCTCTGTGCATTTCTTCTGCCTCTCAACACTGAGCTATCTGTATAGATAATCACATCACATGGGTGAGAACTGCTAGAAAACAGTTCTTAAATCTCTGATTCTGCCAGTTTCTTCAACAAAAGCTCATCATTCTAACCATTAGGTCAGAGATTTCTCCTTCAGCATTTTTTAAAAATCAGGTGCCTTGTCGACCAGCATGGGCGATCATGACTGTCCACAATCTCCTGCAGCATGTATCAGTTCAGGTGCTGACCCACCTCCATGCCATGCAACAAGACTGTCCACAATCTCCTGCAGCATGTATCAGTTCATGCGCTGACCCACCTCCATGCCATGCAACAATACTGTCCACAATCTCCTGCAGCATGTACCAGTTCATGTGCTGACCCACCTCCATGCCATGCAACAAGACTGTCAAGAATCTTTTCTCGTTGTCATCTTCTATCTCTCATTCCACAGATCTTTCCAGGAATCAGGCAAGGAACCAGCAGTCTACATTCAATTGAATCAGATCTGTAAAACTGATGCACACGCAACACTCAGGTTCTGGAGCAGGACTGCAGTCCAGAAGTGGACGAACAACCAAAACTTTACGCCAGAGTGTACAGCTGGTGAACGCGAAGAAGAAGAAGACAGTGTTCCATTTTCCTTCTTCTCATAACATGGCTGAAAAATGATGACTGTCTCCTTCTGATGTCTATGATGATGCTCCTTACTGAATGAGATGAATCTAGTGGAATCCCCACTTTGTGATCTGAATTTGTTATGTTTCAAGGCATGATTTTCTAGGGATAATACAGTGGTGGTTTTCCTTTGGCTTCCGCTGGTTCCTACATTTAAAAAAATTTATTTATTTGTTTAAAAGACAGAAATTGACTTGCCTGTGTTATGACACCCATCAGCTCTGCTTTGCGTAGAAATCCCCGAACGGCCGAGGGGCTGGTGTGTAGATGACGAATCATCTTTTGTGTGGGAACTATAAAAAAGTACAGAATGAAATTGACATTTGAGGAATCAAATTGGTAAAACAGGAACTGGTGTGTAGATGATGAATCATCTTTTGTGTGGGAACTAGAAAAAAGTACAGAATGAAACTGACAATTTAGGAATAAAATTGGTAAAACAGGAACTGGTGTGTAGATGATGAATCATCTTTTGTGTGGGAACTAGAAAAAAGTACAGAATGAAACTGACAATTTAGGAATCAAATTGGTAAAACAGGAACTGGTGTGTAGATGATGAATCATTGTCTACTAGGAACTGGAAGTATTCATTACATTTCTTCTTGAGCATTTTGAGACAGGGCCCCACAGAGAGCAATGTTACACAGATACAGGGCACCACAGAGAGCAATGTTACACAGATACAGGGCGCCACTGAGAGCAATGTTACACAGATACAGGGCGCCACAGAGAGCAATGTTACACAGATACAGGGCGCCACAGAGAGCAATGTTACACAGATACAGGGCACCACAGAGAGCAATGTTACACAGATACAGGGCACCACAGAGAGCAATGTTACACAGATACAGGGCGCCACTGAGAGCAATGTTACACAGATACAGGGCGCCACAGAGAGCAATGTTACACAGATACAGGGCGCCACAGAGAGCAATGTTACACAGATACAGGGCACCACAGAGAGCAATGTTACACAGATACAGGGCACCACAGAGAGCAATGTTACACAGATACAGTGGTAACAGACCCAGAGGTCGACCACGCAGAAGATGGACTGCAGAAATATCAGAGACACTGAAAAGTGCTATATATGAAGCGAACAGGAGAGCCCGTTCTAGAGATCTCTTTCTCCCCTGACGCCGTGAGCCATTCCAGGAGTAGAGAAAAGAAGAAGAAGACAGCATTTCGAGCATTTGAGGTTCACTGCCGCAGATATAAGTCATCTCTGTTGACTGGTTTTCTCTTTCGTGTTGGTGACTTCAAGAGTCTGTAGGTTTGCATGAGTATTATCCATCTATTATGTAATTGGTCCAGTTGATGAATCCAAGTGTTTGTGGGTATGCCTGTACATTATCTATCAGCTTTGTGATTGACTTTCATGTTCCTGTTGATGACTGCATATGTTTGTGGGTATGCCTGTAAATTATCTATCAGTTCTGTGACTGACTTTCTCTTTCCTGTTGAAGACTGCATGTGTTTGTGGGTATGCCAGTATATTTTCTATCAGTTCTGTGACTGACTTTCTCTTTCCTGTTGAAGACTGCATATGTTTGTGGGTATGCCTGTAAATTATCTATCAGTTCTGTGACTGACTTTCTCTTTCCTGTTGAAGACTGCATATGTTTGTGGGTATGCCTGTAAATTATCTATCAGTTCTGTGACTTTCTCTTTCCTGTTGAAGACTGCATATGTTTGTGGGTATGCCTGTAAATTATCTATCAGTTCTGTGACTGACTTTCTCTTTCCTGTTGAAGAATGCATGTGTTTGTGGGTATATCTGTAAATTTTCTATCAGTTCTGTGACTGACTTTCTCGTTCCTGTTGAAGACTGCATGTGTTTGTGGGTATGCCTGTATATTTTTTATCAGTTCTGTGACTGACTTTCTCTTTCCTGTTGAAGACTGCAAGTATTTCTGGGTATGCCTGTATATTTTCTATCAGTTCTGTGACTGACTTTCTCTTTCCTGTTGAAGACTGCATATGTTTGTGGGTATGCCTGTACATTATCTATCAGTTCTGTGACTGCCTTTCTCTTTCCTGTTGAAGACTGCATATGTTTGTGGGTATGCCTGTAAATTATCTATCAGTTCTGTGACTGACTTTCTCTTTCCTGTTGAAGACTGCATGTGTTTGTGGGTATGCCTGTAAATTATCTATCAGTTCTGTGACTAACTTTCTATTTCCTGTTGAAGACTGCAAGTGTTCAGGAAGGGATCAAGGAGAAAATGATTAGGGGTAGGTTACAATTTGACGGCCTGAGAAGACGTGCATCAAATTCAGGCCAATGGCAGCACTGAGCCTAACTAAGGAAGACTTTTCTTAAAGCCAGTTGGTCTTGCTAGTCCCCCTCACCATCGCCATGGGCCTCCCTAAAGCACAATACAGCACTACTGTCTGGAAAGATGCAGCGGTGGCAACAACAGCTTAGTAATAAACCTAATCCTCACCCCAGGATGGTGGCCTCTTCAGTTTGGACACACTGTACTTCTCTCTGTGCCTGTTCAGCTTTCTGATGAAGCGCAGCTGGAAATATTCAAAATAAACCGTCTTGTTATTTCTCACCACAACAAAAAGAAAAGGAATCTGTCATCACATCATAAATATTTAATTAACAACACTGTCTTCCATTTTTTTTTAGCATTATGTTATCCTATAATTGTATGTCTATCTTCACATTGACATATGTTGGTTTGTTGTGGCTACAGTACTTTCGAATAATAAAGATGTCTTGAAAGAAACTTACTCAGGAAGAGAACTGATTACCCACTTAAAAAAGAGATTATCTACATTCTTTGGTCATGTCATGAGACAGAGAAAATGTGGAGTACATCGTGACTGTGGGAAAGCTCGAGGGCAAAAGAGGCAGAGGGAAATCAATAGAGAAAACACTGCACAGTTTATATCAAAGAATGGAAGATCACCTGTGTCAGAACTGACTCCAAATACATGAGACAAAAGGTTGTGACTAACAACGCCACAAGACACGAACTATAAGAAGAAGTTTTTTATGGAATTCGGTTGCCAAGCCCATCATAACTTAGTCACAGCATGCCTGTTAGGATGCAGAATATTTCTATTCTTTGCCTACCTTAAGGGGAAGCCACATTGTAAATCAACATGAAAAAAAAAAGGTAGACCGAAAAATACATGAAGAAATGAATTAGAAATACAGCAGAAAATATGGGGAGGACATGGGGTGAGATGCTTGAGCTAATAGAACACAGGATGACTTGGCATGAACTGGTTGATGAGGGTCTAAGCTTCACTGAAGGAGGAAATAAGAGTAAGAAGAGGAGATGGAGGAGGAGAACAAGATGAAACACCAGTACACGTTCTTTATAGCACTTTAACCTTGTTTCCTCAATGCAAATTACATCACTAACTGTAAAGATTTACATTTTGTCCCTCTTACTGCAGATTGTTCCGGCACACACACACATTCAAAAAAGATTACGGTCATGTGAGATAATGACTATATCTTCCATCTTGCCAAAGCTACTTTCATCAAGCAGATTCCTGTTCTAATTTCAATGTACAGTAGAATCTAGATAATCTGGTTTGCGATCATCCACACTCCGTATTACCTGGCCTAGTTTTAAAAAAATTATTCTCCATAATGAAATAAGTAATCATTTATTTTGCCACATCGTTGCAAGTGTCAGCCACATGATTTTATTTTACCTGCAGTTAAGTTAGACATCATAAATTTTATCTTAAAATATTAACAAAATTTGTATTTTTTGGACTTCCTATGTTTTTAATAAACGTTTACAATGTAAAGTACAATTCACAAGAAACATTTATAAAGTAAGGGGGCTGCATGGTCTTGAGGTATGGTGTCCGCCTCAAGTGATAGAGGTCTCGTGTTCAAGCCCCGGTGAAGGCTTGGATTTTTCAGGATCTTGCAGGTGCTACAGAGGCTGTGCACTGCGCTGAGCTACTTGGGACTCAGACTTGAGTTAGAAGTAGAACGGAGCACAAATGGGTTACTTCCCGTGTGCCATGATGTTGATAACCTTAAACCTTATAAAGTAGTGGTCTGCAGTCAGAAGTTGGGAAATATAAATAAGAGCAGGTTTTTATAAAATGGGTGGGTTTTTTAAATGATATGGGTGTAGTAAAGTAAAGTAAAGAGAGTGCTGGAAATGTGATATAGAATCTGTTCTGCTGTACGGCAGCGAATGTCAGTGAACAAATTAAGAAGAATTAGGAAGCAACAGAGATGTGGTTTCTGAGGCGAATTTTACTAATACCTTGGACGGCCAGAGTAATTAACAACGACTGCTTGAAAGAAGCTAATGAAAGTAGATCTCTATATACAACCATAAGAGATAAACACTATTCTTTGGCCACATCGTGAGAAGAGAGACACTGGTGAACATCATGACAACTGGAAAGATCAGTGGAAAAAGGGGTAGAGGCAGACCAAGAGAGATAATGCTGGATGGGCTGAAACGAAGGTTTGGAGAGATATTATCAAGAGAGCTGTTCCAGGCAACCAAGAATCGTGATCTGTGGAGACGCATGAGCGCCTACAACAGTTGGCAGAGCACATGATGAAGATGATGATGGGTGTAGTAGAAACTGAGTATTCATAAACTTTATCCGGCCTACCCTTCAGCCACATTCGGCCGCATAATGCAAAGAGTCTACCGCACTTTTAAAAAATATACACAAAATTTTACTACATACTTTCTCCTCTTCGTCGTCTATCAGGCTGGGTGTGTGTGTTTTCACATGGGACTGTATGGCTAACCAGTTTCTCCGTTTGATCTTCGATGTGATCTTATCCGCATGCAGCTTGCAGTAGGCGAAGAATGGGTCTGCTATGTTCTGGGTACAAATATATAAATTAATTTCTGTAAAAACAACACTGTTTGCATTTTTATCTACAGCCATGAGACAAAAATGTATACTAAAAATCCCTATGTGGGTTTGGGGCATCATTGTGGGGGAAAACAAGAAGAGACCAACTGCCTCTCCAACAAGCATGTCATAAGAGTCGATTAACTTAGGGGCTTATTTCTGAAATTGGAGTACCTCTGTCTGAGCAGCAAGGAACCAACAATCTGCGTACAAATAAGTCAGATGTGTGAAACAGATGTGCATGCAACACTCAGGTTCTGGAACAAGACTAAAGTCCAGATGTGAACAAACAACCAGAACTTTCCACTGGAGTGTACAGTCAGGGAACTTGAAGATAAAAAGTTTTTTTTTTAAAACGTATCTTATTCTAATATCAAATTAATGTGACAGAGGCACTGTTACAGCTTGTGTATACCTAGATTATATATTCTCTAATAGAAAATAGCCTGTATATAAATATTGAATATTCTCATACTACAAAGAGTCTATTATATATTTTCTAACCACAAACATCCTGAAAGTACATTTCGTTACATATTTTCTAACAGCACAGCGTGCACAAACACTATACTACATATTTTTTAACCGTAGACAGAGAAAAGAGGCTTTTGAGCTGAAAGGCTAAAAAAAGATTCTCAGAATATCTTGGACAAAGAAGAGGAGGAATACTGACATCTTAAAAGATCTGAACATCAAGTAAGATTAGCTAATAAACAGCATCCTTTCTCGGAAGCTGAAATATTTTGATCATATCACGCACGGGAGAGTTGGCGAGAGACTGAGTGTCTTTCAGGTAGACCGTGAAGAGAGCGACGTTCTGCAAAGGACCTGCTACACGATAATGAGACGTCTGTATTTACATTTTATTACATATCAATTTTGATAAAACTATACTGCTTGCATTCTTATCTACAATCAAGCTGGGAAGACAACATCCAACAGTCCGAGTGTCTTTCAGGCAGACCGCGAAGAGAGCGACGTTCTGCAAAGGACCTGCTACACGATAATGAGACGTCTGTATTTACATTTTATTACATATCAATTTTGATAAAACTATACTGCTTGCATTCTTATCTACAATCAAGCTGGGAAGACAACATCCAACAGTCCGTGACTGAGAAGAGGACTGGAATGGAACAAAGCCAAAAAGATAAATACTGACAGAGAAGTCTGACGATCTCTCTCTGGTAAACCTCTACATACTAGACTAGAAGTGGATCAACTAAGTAAGTAAAAAAAAATAATATATATACACATATATAAATAAAAACCTACCATGACTTCCTCAGGTGCAGCCTCCGTTAAAAGCCCTTCCCTCTGAGCACTGCATGAAGACAGGAATGTGTCGGTGTTAAAACTACTCCACACAAATATTTAAAAAATATGACATTTGTGTGGTAAAAGCATTCTGACAGCATGTATGAAGCTAGACTGCACATTTTCTTGTAGCAAACAGCCTGTACATACGTTATACTGAATATGTTCCAACTACAAGGAGCCTGTTTACATGTTATATTATATATTTCTAACTGCAACTAGTCATTTACATTATATTACATATTTTCTACTTGCAGATGGCCAATATTTATATTACATTACAGATTTTCTCACTGTAGATGGCCAATATTTACATTATAATACATCTGTTTTATAGATCTGACATATTCTGATGCAGACTGTTGGTTCCTTGCCCCTCAGGTAGAAGCACTCCATCTTACAAGGAAGCCCTCAATCAGTTGACTCTTACAACATGCTTGTTGGAAAAGCAGTGGGTCTAATCGCTTAGTCGGCATCTAGCAACACAGCGTATTTTATACACTGTTGTCATAGGCTGCATGCAGTCGTGGAACGTATTCTGCTCTCTCTTGTGGGACATAGGCTGAGGCTGTGGCATAGGAGTGTTTGGGTTAGGGCCAGTTCTACGTTTGGGAACCCTTAAAAGCGCTCACATTGTGGAGTATAGACCAAACAATATGGCCGGCCAGTGACAAGACCGCGTAAAATTTTTTGTTCGTGGATGCCCGCTAAGCATGATACCCCCGCAACACAGGACAGGCCTTACAACACAACCAGAGACAAATAGCAAGGGAAGTAACTCTCTTTCTGGGCACGAGTTTGTGAGATGTACCCAATGGGGTCCCAGAACCCACACAATATTACATATATTTTAATAGCAGATGGTCTGTATAGACACTATATCACACATTCTCAATAACGTACATGATGTGACATACAGAGAGTCAAACATACCAAGTGACATGGAAGAAAGCCTTGACGTACATGATGTGACATACAGAGAGTAAAACATACCAAGTGACATGGAAGAAAGCCTTGACGTACATGATGTGACATACAGAGAGTAAAACATACCAGGTGACATGGAAGAAAGCCTTGACGTACATGATGTGACATACAGAGAGTCAAACATACCAAGTGACATGGAAGAAAGCCTTGACGTACATGATGTGACATACAGAGAGTCAAACATACCAAGTGACATGGAAGAAAGCCTTGCACATCCCCGCATCACAGCTGATACACACCCCAGTCTGACCAAACCTGGAGTCCTCACACAGAGAGCACTCCTGAAAACACAGACGGATACCAAACAGATTCAATATCTCCCTGTTGAATGTTGAATTAGGAATCGACATAATAGCACTCGGGACACTATCAAAAGCGCTCTGTTCCCATCTTCAGCAGCAAGAGAGGAGTTCTAATTCTGATTGTATCAGTAACTGTCTGATTATATATAAGTCTTGACTTTCCCCTGAGTGCTGAGTGTGGGCCAGATCCCCTGGTAACTCCCCGCAGCATCATCCTCCTCATACCGTGATGATCTATTTGTGCCTCCTCACCGTTCACTCACTCCCAAATGGTCACTACAACATCTAGCTTGTCATACATCATCAGAACCAGCTAGTCTATTTGGCTGCTCATTTCCCAACACACCAGCACAACCTGCAGAAAATATCCAAAGGATGCTAACTACTTGGAACCTCTGAAGGATGCTTGCCACTCTGCACGGAGCATGCCTGTCTCCACCTTTCTCACCATTCTCTATAAGTCAGTTACAATTACAACATGCATTTACAGCTGATTCTCAAGCCAGTGGAAGGCAGCAGTAATATCTCCTTGTGTGGCAACCAAGCCAGTGGAAGGCAGCAGTAATATCTCCTTGTGTGGCTACCAAGCCAGTGGAAGGCAGCAGCAATATCTCCTTGTGTGGGTACCAAACCAGTGGAAGGCAGCAGTAATATCTCCTTGTGTGGCTACCAAGCCAGTGGAAGGCAGCAGTAATATCTCCTTGTGTGGCTACCAAGCCAGTGGAAGGCAGCAGTAATATCTCCTTGTGTGGCTACCAAGCCAGTGGAAGGCAGCAGTAATATCTCCTTGTGTGGGTACCAAGACCTCATGTTTCCAGGAGAAAAGTAAAGATCATCTGCCCCTTAAGAAGTAAAGTAAAACCACACTAACACTGAGGCTGAAAACGCAGACGGACACCAAACAGATTCAATATCTCCCTGTGAGGGTATCAAACCCTCGTGTTTCGAGGAGACACATCCTCTGCCCCTTAACAAGCGTAAAAAAGTAATAATTTACATCAACCTATCTGGTGTAGGACTTAACATGTGCAAAGTAAAGTAATTAAAGGAGCTATTTCCATGCCTTTAGACTTAGAGGGCATTTAGGGCTAGACCTATATTTGATAATCAACCTTCTGCGGGCAATGTGGTCAACACACCGGCCACCTTCAAGTGGTACCCACTTCAGGCTGGGTCAACCTGGAAGCCAAGGTCATTTGTGGAAGAAGTCCAGCTCCGTACGGATTTGAACCCATGACCTCTGCATCTTTAGGCGAACATATAACCGCTACACCATGGCAGCTCCCAATTAACATGTGTGCCTTTGGCATTTTGTGACTAATTCTTCTTCTTCTGTCGTCCAAACCAGGTTGTAGCCAAGTCTTGTGGTTTTCTGTATTTGTCTTGCACTTTTCCGGTGGCTAGGGTGACGGATTTGTTCATCTTTTTGCAGATTTCAGCTACACCATTTATCCATCTCTTTCTTGGTCTATCCCTTGCCTTCCTCGCAGATATTCTGCAGAAAAAGTCTTCAATGCAGTTTGGTCAGGCTGCATTCTCAGTAGACGACTGATCCATTTATTTTTTTGTTGGTCAATATATTCCAGACATGGTCTTATTTCAACTTTCTCTCTAATGCTGGTATTCCTAGCCCTATCTCTTCTTGTGTTGTTAGTGACCTTGTAGAGACAGCGCATTTCACATGTAGTTATTTTCTGTTCTAGTGTCCTACTAATTGTTCACTGTGACTAATTGCAGCACTGAAAATACATATGGGTCAAAACTGCCAATACTTTACTGCAGTGAATTTGTCATAGTACCAATGAAACAACAAGGTTGTGCTGCCAAAGCAAGATAACTCAGCAGAAATGAACGACAAAAAGGTCCTTACTTTAGCACCCCATTTGGAATACGGCATCTCAAACAAAGTGACCAAACTCAGCTTGTCCACATCTCCAAAGGCCACACCCGGGGTATACAGAGCACACACAATGTGCACCCACCTATATGTGCATACAAAACATTACATCTGTAATACATCACGTAATCAAATCCATGAGACATAACTTCAACATGTTTTACTGTTAGAACTAAGATATGTAATTAGCAAATAAAATAAGGTAAAATTTATGTGGATGTACAGAAAAATTGGTTATTTTTCATCTGAGAAAAGAAAGGTTCTGGAAAGTGTGAATTAAAGGAGAATTACTGACAGAAAAAAAAAGAGCTAACTTAAATATTTTGGCAACATTAAAAGATGTAACTCTTCTTTAAATCATACTTGAGGGAAAGGTCAAGGGCAAGACAACAAGAGGGTGACATTGATACAAGTGGGAGGACAATATCAACAAATGGACAAACAGCAGTATCAGAGTGTACAACCAGAATAAGAGACAGAGCGTGTAGGAGATCCATTGCAGCCAACCTTCATTGTGGAGATGGCACCTGATGGGTTGAATCATTCATGTTGTACATATGTGGAGAAAACAAAATCATGAAAGGAAGAGGGGTAAGGCTGCAGACTGGTTAAAAGGTGTGCCACTGAGAAGAGCGATAAATACATGCAGCGCAGCTATGATTCTGAAATAACAGACTTTTAACTGTGAAAAAAAGTTTTCTCAATGTGAGCAGGTATTGCTGTCCATACTTACCACTGCCGTAGGCTACAGATAGAGCGCAGTATGACACTATCGTCTCGAAAGATGCCCAACCAATAATGCAATTATTATTTTATTCAAGTCTAGGAGAAGAGTCAGCCTCTGTAGTTTAGGCGTTGCACACGCTCTTCATAATGCCAGCGGCAGGCAATCTGGCAACAGATCGCCTTGTGTTGGTTTTATCAGTGGTACCGAAAGGTGGCCATTCAAAAAAGCAATGGCAAACTACCTAATGTAAAATGTGTAAAAACCACAACAGACAACAAAAATAAAACCCTGCGAGGTTGGCTCTACAACGTTCTGTAAAAGATATGCAACTAACTAACTAGGAAAAGAAAAGTGTAAAATAACAGCAAAAACCCAATCTAAAAAAATAGGAGTAACACAGTCGTAAAAAAAAACCAACAATAGCAAGGTCTAACAAAGATAACAGTAATAATATGGTTTAACAAAGTTACCAGCAATAATATGATCTACAAAAATAACAGCAAAAAACACAACCTAAATAGGCAACTAATAATCTAAATAGGATAACGGAAATAACACAATCTTAAAAAGATAACAGCAAATACCAACCATCAAAACAAGATAACAATAACAAAATCTAACTAAAATAACAGCAATAAAATAAAAATTATATATATCAGGATTCAAACTGCTTTGATTTAAAGATAGATACATTTGCGGTATATAGTAAATTAAAGTATATAGATACATTAGAAGATAGCCTACCAGACGAGCAAAACAGTAATCTATAAAAGAGTAGGGAACACCTTTTCCCACTATCCGAATACCGAGCATCTCGGCCCAAATTTGTATGGACCAAATTGCATCTGATGGGAAGATGTGGTCAACATCACGCCAGTTACCTTTCCTTCCCAGGAAATTGTCCTGGTACCCATTTGAGTGTCAACATAAAAGCCACAATCTGTTACAAAAAGTTTGTATAAATGCAGATTCGAACCCATGACCTTCACTCTGGTGAGCAAACACCTAGCCACTGTACTATGGCAATTCCCAGAGTAAGCTGTACATCTTTCATAAAGAACTATTTTAACCGGTTTTTTCTCCTGTAAATGTCACTTTTCCAACACTAAAGATAATGCAGTGGAATGCAGAAGGGGTCTTGAAGAAAAAGCTTGAACTGCAAAAATTCATATATGAACACAATATTGATGCTGTCTGCATTCAGGAAACCCATTTAAACATAGGCTCTCGCTTTTCTGTCAGAGGCTATGAAACATATAGGCTATACAGAGATGGCCACAAAGGAGGCATCATTACATTAGTTAAAAATACTATTGCAGCCACAGAAACTTCAAGAAGCATCAGTAAGTCTGAACATCTAACTATAAAACTGCATATCCTTCCTGAGCCACTATATGTTACTAACTTTTACTGTCTTGTCAACAAGAAATTAGAACTAGAATACATCCAAGTAGCTGATAAGAGCCACATAATTCTTGGTGACTTCAACAGTCATTCCCCTAGTTGGGGTTATGCTTCTTTCTATGGATACAAGAGGAGAAGAGGTAGAGGAATGGATGGTAGACAACCTGCTTATACTAATAAATGAACCTGACTCTGAACCAACATTCTACTCTAGACAATGGCGAACACAAAGTACACCGCACCTAGCTATAGCTACAGAAAACATCCAACGTAGGGCAGACAGAGAAGTGATGAAACAGCTGGGAGGAAGTGACCACAAACCAGTCATTGTCATGATAGGAGAGGTCAAGCCTCCAGAAAATAAGAAGATAGCCAGCTGGGACTACAAGAAAGCAGACTGGGACCTCTACCAAAAATCAACTGAAAAGAAACTATCAGAGCCCTATCCCACTAATGAGGTTAGAAAAAACACCACAACTCTGACCAATATCATACTCGAAGAAGCACAAAAATCAATCCCCCGAGGTCGAAGGCAAAACTATGAACCCTTCTGGACCCAAGAACTGCAACAACTGCACCAAAGAAGCACTGAAGCAAGAGAAAAAATGGAACAAGATCCCTCTGACCTCAACGTAACAGAACACAATAAACATCAGGCTATTTATAAAAGAGAAAAACTCACATGTATCCGGACAAGATGGCAGGAAAAGACTGCAGCTCTCAACATGGAGAAAGATGGGAAAAAGCTATGGCATCTAGTAAAGAGTCTCAATGAGGAGAATAATACCAGCCGTGCCCACATTGTCATTGAAGATGGTGGGAAAAACTTTCTTTGTAAACAAGCAGCAAACCTGCTGGCTGATAGTTTTGCAGAGGAAAGCAAAATCTTCATGTCTAGAGCGAGAGAAGAAGAAGTGATGAGAGAACTAAGGAAAATAAATAAAAAGCAGGAAGATAACCAAGATATAATGAATAAACTCTTCAGTCCCCAAGAACTTGAATGCGCATTAAGAAACCTTAAGAAAAGGAAGGCACCTGGACCTGATCGAAAAACAAACGAAATAATAGTACACTTGGGACCTGCTGGTAGGCAACGACTCTTAGACCTTATAAACCAATCCTGGGCCCAGGGAATACTTCCTAAGGAATGGAAGGAGGCAGAAATAGTTCGCATAGCCAAGAAAGGAAAGCCCAAGGAAAACAAATCCAGTTACCGTCCCATAAGCCTCCTTCGAAAGATTAGTGAACAACAGGTTACTAAATTTCCTAGAAGAAAACAAGATATTGGATGACAGCCAATCAGGCTTCAGGAGATACAGAAGTACTGATGACCAAACCTCTTATCTCGCACAGGAAATTGAAGATGCTTTCCAGAGAAAATACAAACTGCTGGCTACTTTCTTCGACCTGACCAAAGCCTTCGATAAGGTCTGGAAGAAAGGACTCTTGCTAAAATTAGCACACTGTTGGATAAAAGGGCATATGTTTGCCTGGATTAGAGACTTTCTTTACAGACTCTGTGCGAGAGTCAGACTGGAAGATCACAAGAGTAAGCTCGTCAGGTTACAAGAAGGTGTCCCCCAGGGATGTGTTGTATCTCCTACCCTGTTTATTCTTTTCATCAATGACCTCCCTTAACAGTTCACGACTCACATTCCCAAGGCGCTACACGCAGATGACCTGGCAATATGGACTCAAGCTGAACATATAGCAACAACTAAAACAAGAATGCAGGAAGCTATAAATACAGTTAAGAAATGGACAGACTCTTGGGGAGTCACAATAAACCAGACCAAAACCGTCTCAACTTTGTTCTCTCTTTCCACAAAGCCAGAACAAGTTGATCTGTACCTAGAAGGCAACATCCTTCAAAAAGAGGATAACCCCACATATTTGGGAGTAAAATTTGACAAAAGGCTAACATGGGGCCCCCACACTGAAGACACCCAAAGGAAAGCTAGCCTGAGGCTCAGACTTATGAAGAAACTTACAGGATTACTGGGTTGCAAATGCCAACACTGTACGACAAGTATACACAGGATACGTACGACCAAAACTGGAGTATGGCATGGGAGCTTACTCCACTGCAGCCAAATCAAACCTACACAAACTGGATAAAATACAGAACACTGGTCTCATCACTGGAGGTATGAGAAGCACACCAATCCATGAACTGGAGGCAACCTGTGGCCTCGAGAGCCTGAGCCTTCGAAGGGAAGAAAGGGTGCTTACCCTAACAGAAAAATTTGAACAACCCCATGCACAGAATAGCTAATAACTTAACCAAAACCCGACTGAAAAGACAAAGCTTTCACCATCTATCAAAATTATACTACACAAAAAACAGTGACATCCTTTCTAAAGATCCTTCAACATGGGAAATGATCCAGGCATACAGCATAGACCTACAGCCTAAATATACAATCACAACAACAATTCCAGGCATAGACAGAAAGGCTGGAGAGTGTGACCTAGTACTGCGTGCAAAGACCCTTGAACATGTCTACAACTATTATTCAAAACCCGAATGGACACACGTTTACACCGATGGATCATTGGAGGGAGCAGACAAAAATGGAGGAGCTGGATCGGTCATCATGCTGTAAGATGGGACCACAGTAGAAAAGTCATGCGCCTCCGGAAGACTCTCAACAAACTTCAGAGCAGAGAAGCAAGCAATTATTGATTCAGCCAAAGTGTTCAGGGAAAGAAAAATTAAAAACAGCAAAATTGTTTTCCTTTGTGACTGCATGTCAGTCCTCCAGGCGACTCATAGGGATCCACGAGACAACATGGAAAGAGAACTGACCCGTCAGCTAAACAGACACAGAAAACAATCAAATTGTTCTCCAGTGGATCCCGGCTCACTGCGGCATACCAGGAAATGAGTTAGCAGACAGACTTGCAAAAAATGGAACAAAGGAGAAACAACATGCCCATTCATTGTCATTATCAGAAATCAGAACACTTATCAAAGGAAAATACAAGGGATTGTGGAGAGAACAAACTAACAGTAAACATCCACAAGACCCCATCAACAGACTCAACAGAAAGCAACATTTAACAATTTTCCGTCTACGAACGGGACACTGCAAGCTCAACTACCACATGCATAAAATAAAGATTGTACAGTCCCAGCAGTGTGCCTGTCAAACAGGACCCCAAACACCTGAGCACATTTTGCAGACCTGGCCACTCTACCTGCAACTTCGAAAAGACACCTGGCCTCACGAGCAAAGTGTGCAGAGCAAGTTATGGGGAACCATGCAGGACCTGCAGCTGACATGCGAGTTCATAGAGGCAACCCACCTGATGGTCTGATCTGAGCATACGAAACCAAATGCAAAGAAGAAGAAAGAAGAAGACAGCTCATCTACAGTGACCTGTTGACAAAATGCACGCTAAATGATATCATCAGTTTTCGCACCCGCGTAAATGTTTAGGAGGTCAGGATATGAATATATTACTGAAAAATAGCTTCTAAAAAGCCAAGCTCACACAAGAGTTTCCCAGTCTCCTCAGTGATAGAGGTCAAGGGGTCACAACATGAGTCATCCAATATGTGTTTTTTTAAGGTTCAGAAAATGTATTCCCTTTGACGCTTCACCCTGCTCCTGATTCCCCCCCCCCCCCCCCCCCCCCCCATCTTCATCAAACAAACAAAAAACAAACAAATTAAAAAATCTAGATAAATAAATTGTTAACAATTTATTAGTCACATGTGTAAAATTGTCGGGTTTTTTAAATAGGATTTCTTTTCTGGAATTCCAACGGGATCAGGACCACCCATTTTTGTGTGTGTTTCTTGGGTGAGAGGTTAAGGCTAAGGAAAGTGCAATAAGATTTGACAGATTACGTTTAAGGCTAAGGAAAGTGCAATAAGATTTGACAGATTACGTTTAAGGCTGAGGAAAGTGCAATAAGCTTTGACAGATTACGTTTAAGGCTGAGGAAAGTGCAAAAAGATTAATATGCTAAGGAAAGCTGAGCTTGACACATTAGATTATGCAATTTTGAAGGCTGAGGAAAGTGCAATAAGCTTTGACAGATTATGTTTAAGGCTGAGGAAAGTGCAAAAAGATTAGGGATATGGCTAAGGAAAGTACAATGAAGATGTTGAGAGAGATATAAGGTTCTGCTTCTCGCTCTTCTGGCCGCCTTGGCCGTAGTCACAACAAGGTGCTGTAGAGTTTCTCTGACGTTATTTTTCCACCTTGTTCTTAGTCCAGCTCTATGTCTTTCTCCTCTTTTAGCATATGCCTTGAATTATATGATTCAATTGTTGAACAAGAAATGGCTCAAACAAAAGTGTTAACACAATACAAATAAAAACAATAGCAATAACCCAATGTAAACCCTTACAGGTTTCAAATTGGCTTTACATGCATCACAAAACCAGGGCTCCGTACTAGCAGATGATTCAGTGCTGGCCGTGGAATGACTTTCACTGATGCCATAGCAGCCTAAGAAAGAACATTTACAAAAATTGCAGTTTTATGGTGACGTTGATTTTTGCAATGTAAGGTTTATTGAGAATGACTGTTAAAACATCATCAAGTGCCTTGCCAGCTGGCGTAGGTATTCATGCATCTCCACAGATCTGGGTCTTTGGTGTTCTGGGTCAATTCCACTGATGATATTCCTCCCTGCCACTGTCTTAAGCCATCCAACATTATTTCTCTTGGTCTGCCTCTGCTTCTTCTACCAGTAATCTTTCCAGTCATTGCAATATTTTTCAGTGCTCCTTTTCTCATCACATAACCAAAGAACTTTGTCTGTCTGCTTCTCACTGTTGTATATAATATTCTACTTTAATTATCCATTTCCAGGCAGTCATTAGAATATTTATTCTGGCAGTGTATTAAAAATGTGTTAAATATTTATTATAAAATAACAGTTTGAAATCATGGCAATCATTCTCAATGACCCTGTATTATAAAGTAAGCTCACTTCAAACACCATGCCGGCATAGTTGGTAATGAACTGGCAGATAGATTGGCTGGATCTGCACAATTGATAGTCGCCGTTTAATTTCTTTCATTGTGTCACCATTGTTGGTAACCAGTGACCCAAGATATTCGAAATTTTCCACCACTTCCAATCTTTCCTCATTAACATATATTTCCTTCTCCATGGCAGTTTTGTTTGTATGCATTATCTTTGTTTTTGCTGTGTTAAGAAATAAGTTATGATTTTCACTATTTCTTTGGAGTGAGGTTAATAAGTTTTCTAAACCATTTTGTGATGTTGATAGTAATACTGTATCATCAGCATAACGAATTTCTGGTATTTCATGACCACCGATGTTTAGGGCATCATATTGTTCCTTGTTTATATCATCTCTTACATTTCTCATTATATTTTCGGCGTACAGGTTGAACAAATACGGTGACAGCACACATCCCTGACGGACTCCTTGCTTGATGCCAAACCAGTCTGATGTCTCTCCATCTATTCTGACTGCTGCTTGTTGGTCTTGATAGAGCATTTTAATGAGCTGCACTATATGTGATGGAAAGCCCATATTCCTCATGATTTCCCAAAGCTTCTGATGTTGTACACAGTCAAATGCTTTTGAATAATCCACAAAACATAAGAACAGATTTACATTAAATTCTCTACACTTCTCTATTATTAAACGCATGTTGAATATATGATCTCTTGTTCCTCTTCCCTGTCTAAATCCAGCCTGAGCTACATTAATCTCTTCTTCCATTTTCTTTTGCAGTCTTCTCATTATAATTTTTAGTAGAATTTTACTTGCATGACTGATCAGGGCAATAGTTCGATAGTTTGTACATAATTTCAGGTCACCCTTTTTTGGTATTGGAATGAAGATAGTTCTCTTCCAGTCTTTTGGCCAAATACCATATTTCCATATCTTTTCACATAATGCATGATAGATTTTTATGCTTTCTTCTCCTCCCGCTTTAATCAATTCAGCTGGTATCTCATCACATCCAGGTGATTTACCATTTTTCAGGCTCCTTATTGCCCATGAAATTTCATCTAATGAAGGTTCAGGTTCTGCCTCTACTGTTACTGGTTCATGTATATCATTCATATCCTCACTGTCATTCATATCATACATTCCGCTGCAGTATTCCTGCCATCTTCCTAGAATTTGTCTAGATTCTGTTGTTCATTACAGAATAATCTTTACTGCACATAGGGCATATGCACAAGTGCTCCGATCTTCTCCTTAGCATGTTCCTTAGTGTGTTCTTCCTGACGATCTGTGTTCTGTACTGGCTGATGCTGTAACTGTGGACTCTTACCTGATTTAAAAATCATGCTTTTTTGACTGATACAAACTGACTTGGCAACAGTTCTCACGTTTCAGGTCTGCCGTGCGAGTTGTCTCTTTCACAGCATTAACTATGTCCTTTCTATTCGTTGCACACCTTCCCCCACCTCCCCACAATGGGGTCATGAAAGCCACACAGGGGATTCTCAAGTAACATTTGCCAGAGGGTCACTTCTTCTGCACTTGTAATTAAAAGCACACTGTGATGTGCCATCTACAACTTTCAGCCTAACATATTTAATTTCAGCAAACTACAAGTTAGTTACCATTTAGAACATGCCTGCCAATGGGTCCCCCCCCCCCACCCCCCAATAGGGTATCATAACCCCCACTGGGGGAGGGGGGTTAGAATTCTCTGACCTGTATCTTGCTTACCCTCATGGACAGACACCCCACAGTTGTCGCACTCGACAATCTCATCATCGTCAGCACTGGAAAATACAACATGGATTTAGTTTGACAGAAACTGGCTAGACCTAAAGAAATTGCTGGATGTATTTCCAAAAGAGCCACTAAACCAATCATAGAGGACAAAATGGGTTTCTAACAATTCTCAACCAATCATTAAAGTAAACATTGGTTCTAATAAATTCTAAAGCAATCATTTAGTACAAAATTAGAGCAACCCAATGAAAAGTATAAAATGGGTTATCAAACACAATTACTAACACAATGACATTGTACACAATATCTTTTTCATTCATATTATCAACACAACTGTTGAATTAATTATTAAGTATTCACAATACCAACACAATTGTTGAATCAACAATCAAGTGTTCAAATTACCAACAATGGCATGTTGGTTTGTGGTTTATAGCTAGGTTGTGATATCCACACCAACTGGCCCAAGACATCTTATTTCAGAACATGCCAGATAGCAGCTGTCACAGGGGCACCTGCATGGTTGGCCGAACAGACACGAACTCACACATTGACAGCGATGGACACAATGAGCCTGCTTAACTAAAAGTCTTGCCTCAAAAAATTATCTTGCCTGTACATAGCGGGATATGCCAGGGTGAAAGGAAATGAAAGAGCCGACAGACTGGCTATTTCTGCAGTGGTTGGTGGAAGCAGAAGTATGAAAATGGAGGCACACATTGAATGTGCTGCGTTCCAGAGATGCCCAGATAAAGGAGTCAGGGATGATGAAACACCTGTTGGAAATGGGTACTAAATGAGGAAAGAATGCAGACAAGTTTGCATAGAAAGGAAAGAAGAGATGCCAGTCAACTGCTGCTGGGTAAGGTGTCAACTGCTGCTGGGTAAGGTGTCAACTGCTGCTGGGTAAGGTGTCAACTGCTGCTGGGTAAGGTGTCAACTGCTGCTGGGTAAGGTGTCAACTGCTGCTGGGTAAGGTGTCAACAGCTGCTGGGTAAGGTGTCAACAGCTGCTGGGTAAGGTGTCAACTGCTGCTGGGTAAGGTGTCAACTGCTGCTGGGTAAGGTGTCATCTGCTGCTGGGTAAGGTGTCAACTGCTGCTGGGTAAGGTGTCAACTGCTGCTGGGTAAGGTGTCAACTGCTGCTGGGTAAGGTGTCGACTGCTGCTGGGTAAGGTGTCAACTGTTGCTGGGTAAGGTGTCAACTGTTGCTGGGTAAGGTGTCAACTGCTGCTGGGTAAGGTGTCAACTGCTGCTGGGTAAGGTGTCAACTGTTGCTGGGTAAGGTGTCAACTGCTGCTGGGTAAGGTGAGCATGGGGACACTGAGAATGGCTGCTGCATCAGAAGACAGAGCATGAATGGGTCAGATCGATGTGCTAGCAACAATGCTCACAGGCGTCCAATCTCACTACCTAAAGACCAGGGGGAATTACTAGAAGTCCAAGTCCACAAGAAAAAATCCCAGCCCTTACCAGGGATTGAACCCGGAACCTCTAGCACTTGAGCGGACACCATGCCTCGAGACCACGCAGCCCCACACACATTAACACCTCAAGGCTGATGAAACACTGACTTGGTGGCTCCTCTTCCACCTTGGGGTATAAAGGTTTGCCAAAGAGACCACCAGACTTCTGTCAGCAGTTTTCTTTCTGGCTTTGTTCCAATCCAGTCCTCTATCAGTCAGGGACTGTCGGATGTTGTCTTCCCAGTGGACAGGTACAAATCCCAGAAAACCTGCGCAACCCTTTAGATTTTCTAGCCTTAAAGCGGCAGCAGATGTCTTCCTAGAGGACAGGTACAAATCCCAAGAAACCTGCTCAACCCTTTAGATTTTCTAGCCTTAGAGTGGCAGCAGATGTTGCATCTGCTGAGAACTGCAATTTTCTGACAGTAAATTTAACAAATAAACTGCGGTCTACGTTAATTTTTGTTTGGTCAGCTGTCAAGTGGGCCGGAAAACAAGTTTTTCTGTTTTGGTGAGCAGGTGGCTGGTGTAAAATAAGCTGAAGAACACCGATCTAGACAGATCATTTCAGACAAGCAGTCGAAAACTGAGCACAAAACTAACCAACCTTCTGTCAGACAAGCAGCTGAAAACTGAGTACAAAACTAACCAACCTTCTGTCAGACAAGCAGCTGAAAACTGAGTATAGAACTAACCAACCTTCTGTCAGATAAGCAGCTGAAAACTAAGTACAGAACTAACCAACCTTCTGTCAGACAAGCAGTCGAAAACTGAGCACAGAACTAACCAACCTTCTGTCAGATAAGCAGCTGAAAACTGAGTACAGAACTAACCAACCTTCTGTCAGACAAGCAGCTGAAAACTGAGCACAAAACTAACCAACCTTCTGTCAGACAAGCAGCTGAAAACTGAGTACAGAACTAACCAACCTTCTGTCAGACAAGCAGCTGAAAACTGAGTACAGAACTAACCAACCTTCTGTCAGACAAGCAGCTGAAAACTGAGTACAGAACTAACCAACCTTCTGTCAGACAAGCAGCTGAAAACTGAGTACAGAACTAACCAACCTTCTGTCAGACAAGCAGCTGAAAACTGAGTACAGAACTAACCAACCTTCTGTCAGACAAGCAGCTGAAAACTGAGTACAGAACTAACCAACCTTCTGTCAGACAAGCAGCTGAAAACTGAGTACAGAACTAACCAACCTTCTATCAGACAAGCAGTCGAAAACCTAGTATAGAACTAACCAACCTTCTGTCAGAAAAGCAGCTGAAAACTGAGTACAGAACTAACCAACCTTCTGTCAGACAAGCAGTCAAAAACTGAGTACAGAACTAACCAACCTTCTATCAGACAAGCAGTCGAAAACTGAGTATAGAACTAACCAACCTTCTGTCAGATAAGCAGCTGAAAACTAAGTACAGAACTAACCAACCTTCTGTCAGACAAGCAGCTGAAAACTGAGTACAGAACTAACCAACCTTCTGTCAGACAAGCAGCTGAAAACTGAGTACAGAACTAACCAACCTTCTGTCAGATAAGCAGCTGAAAACTGAGTACATAACTAACCAACCTTCTGTCAGACAAGCAGCTGAAAAATGAGTACAGAACTAACCAACCTTCTGTCAGACAAGCAGCTGAAAACTGAGTACAGAACTAACCAACCTTCTGTCAGACAAGCAGCTGAAAACTGAGTACAGAACTAACCAACCTTCTGTGAACTAACCAACCTTCTGTCAGACAAGCAGCTGAAAACTGAGTACAGAACTAACCAACCTTCTATCAGACAAGCAGTCGAAAACCTAGTATAGAACTAACCAACCTTCTGTCAGATAAGCAGCTGAAAACTGAGTACAGAACTAACCAACCTTCTATCAGACAAGCAGTCGAAAACTGAGTATAGAACTAACCAACCTTCTGTCAGATAAGCAGCTGAAAACTAAGTACAGAACTAACCAACCTTCTGTCAGACAAGCAGTCGAAAACTGAGCACAGAACTAACCAACCTTCTGTCAGACAAGCAGCTGAAAACTGAGTACAGAACTAACCAACCTTCTGTCAGACAAGCAGCTGAAAACTGAGCACAGAACTAACCAACCTTCTGTCAGACAAGCAGTCGAAAACTGAGCACAGAACTAACCAACCTTCTGTCAGACAAGCAGCTGAAAACTGAGTACAGAACGAACCAACCTTCTGTCAGATAAGCAGCCGAAAACTGAGTATAGAACTAACCAACCTTCTGTCAGACAAGCAGCTGAAAACTGAGTACAGAACTAACCAACCTTCTGTCAGACAAGCAGCTGAAAACTGAGTACAGAACTAACCAACCTTCTGTCAGACAAGCAGTCGAAAACTGAGCACAGAACTAACCAACCTTCTGTCAGACAAGCAGCTGAAAACTGAGTACAGAACTAACCAACCTTCTGTCAGACAAGCAGCCGAAAACTGAGCACAGAACTAACCAACCTTCTGTCAGACAAGCAGCTGAAAACTGAGTACAGAACTAACCAACCTTCTGTCAGATAAGCAGCCGAAAACTGAGTATAGAACTAACCAACCTTCTGTCAGACAAGCAGCTGAAAACTGAGTACAGAACTAACCAACCTTCTGTCAGATAAGCAGCCGAAAACTGAGTATAGAAAAAAACCAACCTTCTGTCAGATAAGCAGCCGAAAACTGAGTACAGAACTAACCAACCTTCTGTCAGATAAGCAGCCAAAAACTGAGTACAGAACTAACCAACCTTCTGTCAGATAAGCAGCCGAAAACTGAGTACAGAACTAACCAACCTTCTGTCAGATAAGCAGCTGAAAACTGAGTACAAAACTAACCAACCTTCTATCAGATAAGCAGCTGAAAACTGAGTACAGAACTAACCAACCTTCTGTCAGACAAGCAGCTGAAAACTGAGTACAAAACTAACCAACCTTCTGTCAGATAAGCAGCTGAAAACTGAGTACAAAACTAACCAACCTTCTGTCAGACAAGCAGCTGAAAACTGAGTACAAAACTAACCAACCTTCTGTCAGACAAGCAGCCGAAAACTGAGCACAGAACTAACCAACCTTCTGTCAGACAAGCAGTCGAAAACTGAGTACAGAACTAACCAACCTTCTGTCAGACAAGCAGCTGAAAACTGAGCACAGAACTAACCAACCTTCTATCAGACAAGCAGTCGAAAACTGAGTACAGAACTAACCAACCTTCTGTCAGACAAGCAGCTGAAAACTGAGTATAGAACTAACCAACCTTCTGTCAGACAAGCAGCTGAAAACTGAGCACAGAATTAACCAACCTTCTGTCAGATAAGCAGACGCAGCAGACAAGAACTTTGATTCTCTCATGAGGGGCAAGAATCTGCACAGCCATGGAATCATCTTTGGGGAGATCAGCCGATGCCTGGTCTGTTTTGGGTTTCTTTGACTTTGTCTTCTGAGGTAAACAAAAAATACAACTTGACTGAAATGCATGAAACTCTTTATGCAAAATATTTAAATACTCATCAATCCATACTATAGCAAAGTGGCTAGAAGTACTATCTACTGCCAGCCTGGAGGTCTAGGATTCAAATCCGCACTGAGGTAGGTTTTCACACAGTACAGTTTAGTGTACACATCTCTTTCCCTGTGAAATTCAAAACTCACAGTGTTGCACCATGCATTCTATTCAGTAGCTTGTCAGCAGATCCAGATTTCACCTAACCTCATTTTTTTGTCCCATCTAGTTTCCCACTGGGGAATCCTTCACTGGATTACCGGAAAGAAAAGGGTGTATCACTCAAAGGCGAGGTTTGGCTAAAAGACACTAAGATTCTTGTATTGCACATCAATGCTTCAAAAAGGTCTGCCATACCACATTACACTGTTTGCTGATCATCACTGATTTTCTTCAATCAATCAGGTGGTTTGCTGATCATCACTGATCTTCTTCAATCAATCAGGTGGTTTGCTGATCATCACTATTCTTCTTCAATCAATCAGGTGGTTTGCTGATCATCACTGATCTTCTTCAATCAATCAGGTGGTTTGCTGATCATCACTGATCTTCTTCAATCAATCAGGTGGTTTGCTGATCATCACTGATCTTCTTCAATCAATCAGGTGGTTTGCTGATCATCACTATTCTTCTTCAATCAATCAGGTGGTTTGCTGATCATCACTATTCTTCTTCAATCAATCAGGTGGTTTGCTGATCATCACTGATCTTCTTCAATCAATCAGGTGGTTTGCTGATCATCACTATTCTTCTTCAATCAATCAGGTGGTTTGCTGATCATCACTGATCTTCTTCAATCAATCAGGTGGTTTGCTGATCATCACTGATCTTCTTCAATCAATCAGGTGGTTTGCTGATCATCACTGATCTTCTTCAATCAATCAGGTGGTTTGCTGATCATCACTATTCTTCTTCAATCAATCAGGTGGTTTGCTGATCATCACTATTCTTCTTCAATCAATCAGGTGGTTTGCTGATCATCACTGATCTTCTTCAATCAATCAGGTGGTTTGCTGATCATCACTGATCTTCTTCAATCAATCAGGTGGTTTGCTGATCATCACTGATCTTCTTCAATCAATCAGGTGGTTTGCTGATCATCACTATTCTTCTTCAATCAATCAGGTGGCATCTGCACAGTGAAGGCTGTCTATAATGGATCACCCACACTCTGTGTCTTTTCTTGATTGTATACTCTCTCAGACAGCTGTTCATCCATCTCTTGATGTTGTCCTCCCAACTGTATTATTGTCTACCTCTTGCTCTTAACATTTCCCTCCAGTGTGGCTTTTAAAAGAGTGTTATGTCATTTTAGCTCTTCAACATCTGCTAAAGTCAAAGTGTCTGTCTCGTAACACCAACATCAAAATATATAAAACGTTGATAAGACCAGTTGTTTAAATGGCTCTAAAACTTGAAGCACAACTAAAAGAGGTCAAGCCTTATTACAGGTTTTCGAATACAGTCTTACGACAAATCTTTGGACCCATCAAAGATGCTAACAGCGGTGAAAGGAGAGTGAGAAGCAACAACGAAATTCAAAATCTGTTTAAATCACCACTGATCACTGGCATCATGAGAGCTAATAGACTAAATGGTTGAGGCATATTGAAAGAATGTCAGATGACAGAGAAGTAAAAACTGTTTACAACAGGGAGATGAATGGTCATAGACCACGAGGGAGACCAAGAAAATGATGGAGAGATAACATCCAGACAGACTTGCAAACACTTGGTGTTACCAACTGGAAAGAGAAGGCCAACCAGAGAGATGAATGGAGGCGGGTGATATCTGTAGCAATGAACCTAAAGGGCTCAGAATGCTGAAGAAGAAGAAGTTATGCCTTTTAATGTGGCCAAAATATTTCAATTGTCTCTCTCTCTCTCTCTTTTCTTTCAATAATTCTCTGTTCATTCGTGGTCTTTCCAGAACCTCTGTATTTGAATGCTTCTATTTCCATGAAACACAAATTATGAACTTCTGCATACCCACACTGTTCTCCTTACACTCCTCTTACTCTCCTAACTACAGTCAGTGAATGATAAAAGCCAAATCTCATTAAATACACACTGGTAGATTTTCAGGTTTGTCTCCTGTCTTTGCAGATTTCTTTTTCCGCTTTCGAGGTACATAATCCTCGTCATCTTCATCGCTGTCGATCATGTCCCAGGCATGGCCCAAACCTGAAAGTACGAAAACATGTGAGTGAACAAGAAGCCTAAACAAATGTGTGCATGAATAAACATGGTGCATGAATGAACATGCACTGACTGGCACTCACAGAAAGGTGTAGAGATAGAAAGACACATTACATAGAATTTAAACTGATAGCAGTTTCCACACCAGGACTGGGACTTGTCTCTAGCTGATATTGTCAAGAGAAGATATACAACTGAAAAAAAGTGTATTTAGCTGATATTGTAAAGTATTTACTACACTTTTAAGGATTTCATTTGAAGCCCAGCATATTTTCAGCCTTGTATCCCCAATTGGAATCCTGGGTCACCCCAAAATCTCCTGACCAGTGAAGAGGTAAATTTGTGATATGCCTAGCAAGCTGGCAATGGATTCATGACCGTTACAACACATATTAGTAAATAAAAAGTAAAAGTAAAGATCCCTATTCATGCCTTTACACGTATCGGGCATATGGAAAGAGCTCCCATATTTTTACTGACCATCGGCACTAGGTGGGTAATGTGGTCAGCATTGCGGCGGCTATCTTTACTTTCCCAGGACACACATTTCTGGTACCCATTTTAGGCTGGGTCGACCTGCGACGCTCCATACCATGATAAAAATCCACACAGCCAGCAGTGGGTTTCGAACGCAGTATGCTGGAATTACAAGTTGGACTCACAACGCCTAAACCACGGACGCTGCTTACAACACATATTACATGACACAAACAACCTTTAATTTTTCCTGACATCAGAAGTGTCCTAAAAAAGGCAGTGAAGAAGAAGAAGAAGCATATATTTTTCATGTTATGATAGGAAGGAAAGGAACATGCTGTGTCCACTGAAAAGACTTGTGGAAGGAGAGACAAAGGCGGACAATACAAGAAGATTCTTGACAGCCTTTCCTCATGGCATGAAGAGACGTCTTCACACGAACTGATACATGTCGAAGACTGCAGACTGTAGAGAGGCATGATCACCTAGGCCAGTCGGCGACGCACTTAATGATTACAAAATCAGCCCCAGCATTTCTGGATGAGCTTACTAGACAATTTTTGTATGAGTTTACTAAAAATATTTTGTATGAGTTTACTAGACAATTTTTGTATGAGTTTACTAGACAACTTTTGAATGAGTTTACTAAGTATTTTTACACTTAGTTTCCATTGCTTTCTCAATGGTACAGTGTTCACAAAATTATCAAAGCCAAGGCAAAGCTGCCTGCTAGCAAATCACCTCCAGCAGACTGTTAACCCTGTAATATCAGAATTCTGAAACTCACCCCCACCACCTCCCCCAACTGCTGAAACCTACCTTGCCTTCAGGTGGTAGACCCTTTTCTCCCCAATATGATGGGTTCCATTCCCCAGTGGTAAACTGGTTGGGAAAACAAATGAGGTAAAGGTGAAATCTGCTTCTGTCGGCCAGCTACTGAATAGAGTGCATGGTGCGACACTGTGAGTTTTGAATTTCACAGGGAAGGAGATGTGTGTGAGATTGTGGTAAACTCTATACTCAGAGATCGTGTTTTGTGTGATGCTCTCAGCAGGCAGCTAGCCATTCTGCAGAGAGAGACTGAGCAATATGGGGTAAAACCCAGTGCAATGAAGTCCATTAGATCGACTTTTAACTTTAAACTTCACCATAATCGTCCTGTTGTGTCATAGAGAGTCGGCGTGTAGTCTACTCCTCTTCTGCATACTCTCCTCTGCAATCCCTTCAATGTTATGGATAGACCAGTGGATGAAGAACATTATGACAACTGGAAAGATCAGTGGAAAAGGGTTAGAGGCAGACCAAGAGAGATGATGCTGGATGGGCTGAAATGATAGCATGAAGGGATATCATCAAGAGAGCTGTTCCAGGCAACCAGGGATCGTCATCTGTAGAGATGCATCTGCACTTACACCAGAGGCAGGGTACATGATGATGATGAGTCGCCTCTCTCAACAACGTCAATATTTTGGATGTCCACATTTCTTTTAATTCCCATTTTAGTGTCAGTTTGGTGATTCTCTGCTCACTTCTTTTCAGGATGTGTCCAATCTCTCAACAGTGTACATTTTAGGATTTTTGTTATGACGTCGTGATTTCCTCAATTCTTTCATTTCTCCTTTTTGGTGATTCTCTGCTCATTTCTTCTCAGGATGTGTCCAATATTGCACCACCTTCTTGTTGTTGTCAGTGGTTGCCCAGACATTTCTCTTATTTCTTCACCTCTCTTGAATTCATTGTGTGGGTCCATGGACCCCATTATGGGGAAGAACAAGAACAATCCCACTGCCTCCTAACAAGCATGTCGTAAGAGTCCACTAACTAGTGGTCTCCTTCGAAGCTAGAGTGTATTTGCCTGAGAGTCAAGGACCCAACAGCCTGCATACAAAAAAGCCAGATCTGTAGAATAGATGTGCATGCAAGACCCAAGTTCTTGAACAAGACTACAGTACAGAGGTGGTTGAACAACCAGGATTTTTCACCGTAATTTACAGCCGGTGGCCACCATCATTATCAGAAGCATCATCATCAGCAGGATTATCATCATCAGCATCATCATATAGATAATGATGATACAGAAGAAGAAAAAGAAGAAGACGAAGAAGAAGAATAAGTAGCAGCAGGGGGAGGGGAAGGGGAAGAAGATGGAGGAGGAGGAGGAGAAGAAGAAGAAGAAGAAGAAGAAGAAGAAGAAGAAGAAGAAGGAGAAGAAGAAGAAATCCATTTTTTTGTTAAATATTTTCCTCAGGCATTTGTTCGCAAATACATTTAACTTTTATACCAAGTAAAAACATGTAGAACATTTAAATGAAACAAATTTAATGAACGAACAGACTAAACATACCTTTAATCTCTGGACTCTCAGAATGATTATTTCCCCTGCCATCTTCACTGCCGTCCTCCTCCTCCTCTTCATCATCATCATTATCATCATCAGTATTAAGCTCCTCCATGTTCTCGCCTTCAGGCTCAGTTTCAGACTCAGACGAATCTGCCTCACTATCATCATCCTCTTCATCATTTTCACTGAGGTTCTCTCTCTCTTCTACATGTCTTTGCAAATTCTCCTTTGCGGCGTACTTGTCATCTATTTCACCATCATCGACTTCATCGCTGTCACTTTCAGCATCATCATCTTCTTCTTCACTGCCACTGTCATCACTTTCTTCAGCTGAGCTCCCATTATCTCCTGCATATAAGAATCATTAAAAAATTATGGTTATTTCGTTAATTAGTTAGTTAGTTAATTAATTAGTTGGTTAATTAATCAGTTGGTTAGTTAGCTAGTTACATACGGCTGTGAGTTGCAGGCCTCTATATCAAACTTTAAAGGAAAAAACAAGCATCAGAAATGTGACCCTGAAAATTCTGGGGTATATCATACACAGACCTTATCACAAATAATGAAGTTCACTGCAGCAACCCAGTGGCAACCATGAACTTATTTTAACAACTGTGAAAAGATGGAAAATTCAATCAGATTCATGTTTAAAAAAAAAAATTTACTGGCTCCTCCAAAATGATTCTACACATTCGGTAGAAGAGGAAAAGGGGTAGACCAAGAAAGACCCGGATACAGAATGTAGTGGAAGGGACAAGCCTCAAACATGCAAACATCAAATCTGTTGCATCTGACCAACAGAGGTGGAGGGAGCTGACCAGACAGTCAACAGCAACTGGTGACCCAATGATACCCAGAGTTATGGGACTATGGTGATAATGATAAATGTACACAGGAGAATTTGTTAAAAGACAGTGAAGATATGTTCTTACAAAACCAATTCTGAAGGGCAGGTCAACCGGTTACCACTATGTTCTGCTGCTTGCTGCAGATGATGCTGAGCAACACAGACGGCATGTGCATGAGCCATGTTATGCTAAAGGAGTGGCTTGCCCACTCGAAGAGACTCACAGAATGAGTATCAGAACACTGAAACACAATCCTAATCACTTTTGTTTCTACTCAAACAAATGTCTCATTGTCTATGCTTATACTCAGAAACCAGCTGATCTACTATAATGTTGGCACAGTTTGGGCTTCAGAAAAACAAAGTCCAGTGAGACTCACTTCTTCTTCTTCCTAGCTCTTGAGGTTCACCTCTGGGATGTCACCCACCTCCATTCATCTCTGTGCGTGTATGTGTACGCATGAGTATGGGTACTTGTGTGTGTCTGTATGAGCATGAGTATGGGTACTTGTGTGTGTCTGTGTACGCATGAGTGCATGAATATATATGCATGATGGTGTATATTATGTATGCATATGTATGATTTTGCTTGTATCTGTGCATGTATGGGCATATAAGAGTGTATGTGAATATTCAGAGTGTGTATGACTGTGTATACATGATGTGTGTAAGCATTATTTAATTATGTATAATTTAGCATACATTACAGGCACTTATGGTCTGGAAGATAAGAGCTTGGAAGGGCCGAATGTTAAGACGAGCCTGTGTGCTCAATTTGAAGCCATGTGAAAATAAAGTTCTCCATTCATTCTGTAACTGGCCTTCTCTCCACTGTGAATCAGAGTAGGCCCCAAAAACATGTGTTTTTGGTTACTCATGGCCTGATTCTGTGAACTTTACCAATGAGGCTTATGAGAAAAATCACATCCTGGCTTTTATAAAAACCCTTTGTCAGTCAATGTATTCACATCCTGACCTCCCAAATGTTTGCGCAGGTGCAAACTCAGCCAATTGCATTTACTATACATTTTGTAAACAGGTCATGATAGACAAGTCCAAAAAATGACATTTTCAGGAAGGAGTTGATTCAAGAACTGACATCACAGCCCTCGCAGCATTCCCACAGGTGCTCCATCCCCATCATCAGCAGCCAGCACAGTTTTAATAGCAAAGGTGCCAGTAGCCATCTTGCCTTTCCTCTGAGCACTGAGTATCGGCCAGATCCCCTCGTCACTCACTCCCTGCTGCGTCACTCTCACCAGACTGGTGATCAATTTGCTGCTCCCCATTTTACATTCTCCCACAAGGCCCTAACCCTGTCTGCCTTATCATGCGTCAATATTAAACCACGTTGTGCAGAGCCGGCCAGCCAGTCTGCCCACCTGTTCATTTACAGAGATCTGGATGTGTTGGGTTTTCGGCTTCTTGTGGCGAGAGGAATAAGATCCCTCAAGCTGACGATCTGCAACTTTACCAAAACTAATACTTCTCCCTCTTCATAATTAGTCAACTCCTATGACATGCTTGTTGGGCAGGCAGTTGGTCTATTCTTGTTTTCCCCACAATGTGGCCCCGGAACCCACAACTACTTCCACAAAATCACACAACACAAACTGCCACCTCACCTTGGGAATGTTTATTAATGTCAAAGTCACTGTCTTCTTCGCTGTCATCCAGTCCATCAAAATTAACTTGCACTCTGCTACTTGGGACCGGCTTGACTTTTCTCTTGCCAGGAGCTCTTTGAACTGTAAAGGAAAATTTCATTATCATCTAGTTAATTAACAGACTCAACTCAGAATGTGACAACTATGATATGAAGATCAACGTAAACAAACCAGAAGTGATGACATTCTCCAGTTAAAGCAGGCAAAGGATTTTACACATCTGGGGAGCATTTTTTTTCTGAAGACAGAAGAATTAATACAGAAATCAACAAAGATACAATAAAGTCATTCAAGTTTCAGGACAAATGCAACCAATTTTGAAATGCAAGCCTGTGAATATGAACACTAAAAGAACCCTGTTCAACACAATATTCTTACTGACGCTAAGCTATCAATGTCAAACATGCACACGATGATATTAGAAGGAGAGTCGGCAAAGAACCAATACTGAACTTTATTGGCAGACAATAAATCAAATGGTGTGGCCATGTAACAAGATTGGCATCAGACAGGGCACCACAGAGAGTAATGTTATACAGATACTGCAGTAACAGGCCCAGAGGTCGACCACGCAGAAAATGGACTGCAGAAAAATCAGAGACACTGAAAAGTACTTTATACGAAGCAAATGGAAGGGCCGTTCCAGAGATCTCTTCCTGCCCTGGTGCTGTGAGGCATTCCAGGAGTAAGAAAAGAACAAGATCCAGTTAATTCAATAAACAGTAAAACCTCATTAACATGGACACAAATCAATGCAAACACATTCTTCGGCCTGGCGAATAAACAAAACAAAAATAACTACACACCCTCAAAGAGCAGCTAATCCATAGATGTACACAGTAGCAATGATAATGTATATCAACTTTTTAATACATCATATTTATATGGCATGTAAATTGTAATTTGTAGTATAACTTAGACAGCGTCCAAAATATTTGATACACTGCTCCATTAAAATGTTTATGAACAAATTAAAACAACAGAGTATAACAAAATTGATCGTAGTCAAAGCCATCAACCTGTTCAGTAGTGCCTTCAAATTCACTTTTTGAAGCAAAATCCAGAAAATCACATGCATCATCAGAAACATTCGGAGAAATATGATCACCAGGAGGGTTACGAGAATTAGAAGCAATGATGACAATTTTGTCAATGTCTCACCTACATGGGGGCTAACTAAGAAAATTTGTCAAATACTTTAAGCACATCAAAGTTATTTCCCTAAACTAATAATACAGAATTGAATAAGCTAAAGGCTTCAACTAAACTTATCATAAAATCACGATTTTAACATGACTGCGAGTGTCCAAAGCTACAAATGTCACCTTGTCACATAACATGTGGCGCTGGTAGTCAGTGGGTAAAGTCCATGTTGCATCACATGTATTAAAGAAATACATATACAGTTAGGCCTCACTGTCTGATTGCAATGATTATATAAAATATAGTACATAGTTGCACAGGGATTTGCTAAAAAAAAAAAAAACAGTTACTGCCATAAAATGCGAACATTTAGTCTTACTTTCTTACTTACTTAGTCGCTCCTCTTCTACCTTGGGGTGCAGAGGTTTGTCAGAGAGATCGTCAGACGTCTCTATCAGCAGTTGTCTTTCTGACTTTGTTTCATTCCAGTCCTCTGTCAATTAGGGACTGTCAGATGTTGTCTTCCTAGCGCATCCTGGGTCGTCCTGGAGGTCTAGGTCCCGGGTTCTTAGCCTCCCGTGCCTGCCATGGTGGCCGATTTTCTCCCATTCTGCATACATGTCCAAACCATCGTAACTGTTACTGATCCACTTGGGTTTGTAAGGACTGAGTATCAAGATCTTTACGTATTGTCTGATTGCGGACTTTGTCCCTTCTTGTTACTTGGACCACCTTTCTCAGATATCTCATTTCCGAGGCCAGCAGCTGGCTTCTGTGAGCTGTTGTCATTGCCCATGACTCACACCCATAGGTCAGGACTGGTACATAGGTAGAGCGGTAAACAGTCATTTTTGTCCTCTTGCCAATTTCTCTTTTGCTAAGAAACCCTCGATTTATGGCCAGGAAGAGTCTCCCAGCAGCTGCTTTTCGTGTAGCCAGCTCAGTCTTAATGCCTCCATTTCGGTCTAATACAACTCCAAGGTATTTGAACCGGTTAACCTGCTCCAATGCATACTGTCCCATCATGATCTGGTGTTTCTTCTCCTCTCTTGAGATCACCATGGTTTTAGTTTTGGAGATACTAATGGTCATCCCTCTCTTTTCAAGCTCTTCCTTCCAGACAAGTAAGTTGGACTGAAGGTGTGCCTCTGATTTAGCTATCAGGGCCACATCGTCTGCAAATTCCAGCTCTGATATACAGATTGGTCTCATCTTCCAGTACCCTACAGAGTACGTCTTTGAACACTTAGTCTTTTCAACCTAAATTTTACTAACTCAAAGTCACAGCTAAGAATCCATCTTTTGTCAGAATATACTCTAATTTGTCTATGGTGAATGGTGGTATCCACCACTAAAGGGTTAATCTCTCTGGAATACGTAACATTAGTCTGACTGACTTTCTATCCCACCAGGATGTCACACAAGCGATAAACACCCAATGACACAATGTGCCACCATGTGGATGAGGATCACCGTGGAGAGGTCACAGAAACCGAGTTTAGCCATTAGGTCATTTTTATGGCCAGGCTATATTGCGGCCCCTGGCAAGAGCCCGAGTAGGGCTTCAAATAACAAAAAATTTCACCCTATAAAGGACGGGAATTAACATTAGTCTGCCCAGGCCCCACCTATATACACACTAGCTCACTTCTGATTGGTAGTTTCTGAGCCCCATGGCCTTCACACAAGGTCAGAGGGGTTTTCAGTGATTCTGTTGAAATCATGTGCTGTATATTTCAGCACGCCAGCATTTTTACCACTCCAAAAACATGGAGAAATTGGCCCTAACACAACCCCTCTAGAGAGTGCTGCAACTTATGTCACAGGTCAAAATGAACTCTAGGCACTGGCACTGTTTGGAGCCGAGGCAAATTTTTTCTTCTGCCAGACGGTGGCCGTTGCATTTTTGCTTCATTTTTAGACTGAAAGGATATAGTTTCGTCGCCCAGCTTCTGAGCTGAATGCATGGTGTGACACTGTGAGCTGCGGATTTTATTTGGAATGTTTTTTTGACTGTGACCAACGTGGTGGTGTGAATTGTAGATTCAGAAAATGGTGCAATGTCTGTTGTCACAATGTTGGTGGTGTCCTTCTGTGATTAAAATAGATCATGTGTGCAACTGCTGATCTGTTGGTGAATTTGGCTACCATCAATGATGAACTGCATTTCTAGTGTCAGACTGTTTGTGTTAGCACTTTGGATGGCTACCGTATGCTTTTTGGCGTGTGTATGCTAGATATGCTGAGACAGCAGTCAGTCAATCTTTCCACAAGGGACTGTGTGATAAACATTCTGTGTGTTTTTCGTTGGCACAGGATCAGAGCAAAGATGGGGTGACCCGTTTGCTATAAAGCTGAAACTAAGACTATCAAACTACCAGACAGGCATTCGCTTTCTCAATTAAAACGTAAATGCAAGACATCACAGAAAGCAAACAACAGAGCGGGACACACCCGTAAACTTGAGGAAAGTCGACCAGTCCAACAACTTGTGAATGAAAAGTGACCTACTCTTTTGGGGAGATTAATGTTATTTTTACCATCTTTCTCTCTCTCTCTCTCTGCTTAGAACTGACTTTACTGGTCTTTACGCTTCATTGATTTGAGTGTCTTGAGGTTCGTTTTACAATTAAAACCCAATATATACAACATCAATAGCATCCCTAACTATACATTCAGAAAAAAAAAATGAGTGATGAGTTAAGAGGTAAAAAAAAGTATAGCTGTTAATGTTGATATGGTTTTAAAGTTTTGTAAAATTTGGGCTCTCCTTTCAACTACGGCTGGTAGACAACAGTAGACGGCCGGTTAGTCGGAGTTCTGTCCCCTTGCTGCAGTGCAATTACGGAGTGGAAAGGAGGGAACGAAACAAATGACATAATTACTGTGTGTTGGTGATAGACAGCGTGCACTGCAATGCTATAAACATACAGTTACGGTTTTGGTTAGAGGTAAGGGTAGGATGTGGGTTGGGTTTAGGGTTAGGGTTAGGGTTACGGTTAGCCGTATCTGGTCTTCACACAAACTCATAGTAGCAACCCAAACCCTAACCCTAAACATAACCCAAACCCTACATCTAACCCAAACCGTATGATGACAGTAGGGCACTGCACTCTGTCTAACGCCAACACACAGTAATTACGTCACTTGTTTCGTTCCCTCTATTCCACTCCGTAATGCGTCGCAAGAAGCGGTAATTGAACGCGGTCGCCAATTTGAGTCGCAGCGCGGGGTCTGCCAAGCATGTCGACCTCACTGTGTTTTCTGATTCGTGCCTTCTCCAGTCCGTAATTGCACTGCAGTCAGGGGACATAACTCCGACTAACCGGCCGTCTACTGTTGCAACCCTACACGCAACCGTACGCAACCCTACACGCAACCGTCCATCCCGCGTCCGGTATCGAAAGTAAAGAAGAGCCCAATAACTCCGACTGCAAGTTCTTGTTGTTCGTCCACCACCGTTCTTCAGCCTTGATCCAGAACCCAAGCGTTGCTTGCACATCATTTTTTTACTGATCCAGCTTATCCTGCCTCGATATGGAAGCATGCTCATCGAATACCTTGTCATCCCCTTGTGGGATGCAATTTTTCGTTATTTGAAGCCCTACTCAGGCTCTTGCCAGCAGCCGCAACATAGTTCGACCATAAATATGGTCTAATGGCTAAACGCGGTTTCTGGAACCTCTCCACTGGTGATCCTCATCCACAAGGTGGAACTTTGTGTCAAGAAGATAGATAGTTAGAAAGCATGCTCATGGAATCACTTAGAATGCAACCATAGGAAACATTATGTATCTCTAGCCACTACATTGCTTTTGTTACCGCCATGACTTCCAGAGTCAGACTACATGAGGTCGAGGCAAAGGCCCTGCAATCATGTTTTACAGTCCTTCCTAGAGCCAGAAAGGCGGAAGATTAATGGACTTTGTAC